GCAGAGGCTGGACTTTGGTGTTGGCACCCTGCCCACCAGTTCTGTGGGAGGAACTGACCACAGCACTGAGCACTCATTAAATCATTAATATTTAAATTACTTCAGCTGCCTTAATTGGTGGCAGGGTTACATGTCATCAGGGCTGTGAGCATTGCAAAGAGGTGAACAGCAAGGCCCTGGAATTTGCTCGCAAGGTGCAAGGATTGAACAGCACCATGAAGTGACCTGGATGTTGCTGTTAAAGTTTTTTCTCTAGTGAGGAACATGAATAATTGTAGCACAAGGGTGTACTGAAAACAAGATCATGGTTGAGCACTTGCCGAGTCAATGTAAAAAATAAGCAAAAAAGTTCAATAGGTGTATTTATGTGACCATTGATATTGCTTCTGAGATTCATGCCTGAAGGCCATCTTGTCTACTTGGGATTTTTTTAACTTGTCCTTCCATTTCATTCAACTTCTTTTTGCAAAAAATTTAGAAATTTAGTCCGTTTTCATCCCCTCATCCAAAATGATATTTCAGAAGTGTCCAAAATAGTACATATTTGAAATCACATGAGACTTTTATACGAGTATTTTATTATTCATCCTGCCAGTTGTATCCACAGCCATACCCTGTGCCTTGCCAGCCCTTGACAGTCAGCTGCTGTCTTTCAGGTGCTGTACAGCATGTTAATCACTGCGTGGACTTCAGATAATTGCACTTATAATAGGATGCAGTTGCCAGGACCTTAATGGAAGCACAGACATGCAAATGATTTGGCATTTAAGACAGCAGTTGAGCACAAGATCTTGAAAAAAGAACTGTCTTGCCTTTAATGTGGGTACCAGGTAGTTTGTTGTGAACTAATGAGCTGTATAGCCTAATGAGGGCAAGACCACTTTCCTTTTTATCACCACTCCTCTCAGTTTCTGTTCCCACATAACATCACCATTTAAGCCACATCGCTGAGTGCTCAGATAATCCAACTAAGGCCTGAAATTATTTCACCCATGTTGTTATTTCTGGCAGTAGTGATAAGCCAGGACAGCCTCACTTTCTGGGATGAGAAAAACAACTTTAGATTTGTAATCAGAGCAGTCTGTGTCCAAGAGACGGAGCTGGAGCACTGGAGCTTTTTACAGGAAAGCAGAAATAAACGAGCTGCATTCATTTCCTTAGGGGCTGCTATCAGCTGGCAGGCCCTTTGCTTTCAGGTGAATATATATATATATAATATAATATATATTATATATTATTATATATAGATATAATACATATATATTATGTTATATATTATAATGTTATATATATTATATATATATATATATAATGTTATAACAATATTATAATATTATGTCTGTCCAAGAGACGGAGCTGGAGCACTGGAGCTTTTTACAGGAAAGCAGAAACAAACGAGCTGCATTCATTTCCTTAGGTGCTGCTATCAGCTGGCAGGCCCTTTGCTTTCAGGTGAATATATATATATAATATATCTTATATTATATTATATAATATCTTATATTATATCATATCATATATTATACAATATCATATATTATATCATATTATATCATATTAATTATATTGTATTATAATAATTATATCATATTCTATTATAGTATTATAATGTTATAACTATATTATAATATTATGTTTGTGCTTTAAGAAACATTATCCTGTACTACTCATCCTGCACTAACACAGGAGAGGAGATGGGGTTATGGTGGGGCTGGTAGTTTCATTGTGATCTCACATTACACCCTCTGGCAAAGGAAGAGGGAGAATTATTTGTCGGGGGCTCTCTCCCGTTGAATCCCGTCACTGTTCCCTTGTCACAGGCCCCTTCCCATGTCCTGACAGTGCCGAGCCGCTCCAGTGAGCCTTACACTCTGAAACTGCAGACAGATCCGCCCGCAGAGCGCTGCAGCTCTCGCTGGGGTTTTGTTGTTAGTGTAATTCAGTGAGTGTGCGGGCTGGGCCCGGCTCCACGCTGAGGGAGCAGCCAGCAGCTCCTGAAGGGGTTCTGCGAAGGAACAAGGGTGTGGCTGCAGCCCTGGTTTGTGCACATCCCTCTCCCATCCTTTGCTCAGAAGGGGAGTGGCAGAACAGCCCCTGAGAGAGCTGCGGGATCGCCCTTGCAGGCTGAGAAAGCCGGGGCCCACCGCAGCGGCCGCACGGGTGATGGCCGGCTGCTGCCAAGGCCGCAAGCGCGGCACAAACAGCGCTGAGCCTGGGGGCACGGACAGACAGAGCGCCCTGTGCCCCACGGGGCTGCGGAGAATAAAAACTCTGTGAGGCAGCGGAGGGAGCCTCCCTACACCTCGCAGCTGGCAGCAGGAGCTGGGACAGCTCCGTTTGGAACTTGATGCCCGGGAGAGACTCGCAGGAATTTCACGGCTCGGTCGGGACGGGAGCGCCGGGAGCCGAGCCCGGCCGGGGCCGCGAGAGGGCGCCCGCGGACAGGGAACGGCCTGCTCCGGGTAAAAATTATTACATTATATTATATTATATTATATTATATTATATTATATTATATCATACATATAGAATAAACTATAATACGTTATAATGCGGCATTTCTGGACAGTGGACTTTGGAATGCTTGGTTATGATGGTTAGATTCAATAACCTTAGGGGTCTTTTCCAAGATAAACAATTCCATTCTCTTCTAGTCTATAATACTCTTTTAATATTTATATTATCTTTGTAATATGTAATCTAAATATTAAATCATGTTATGTTTTATGAAATATATTAAGTTATACTGTATTTTTATGCTTTTCAATCTTAGGTGACAGATCCGCTCAGCCATCCCAAATACACAGGTACACATGCACACACACACAGGGCAGCAGTGGCACAGCACTGATGGCAGGAGTTGAAGTGCGGGGGGAACCCTCTTCACATCTCCCTTTGAGCCCCTCGAGCTGGGTGCATTTCCATTTTCCTGTCCTGTCACCCCATAGTGCCCCACCTGCCCCAAATACAGGCCTTTCCCATGGCTGTAATATCCCCCTTCCCATCTCCATCTCCTTCCCTTCCCGTCTGCCTCTCTCAGATCCTGCAGCTGTGACCAGGCAGTGAAAGGTCTGTGTGGAACAGCCAGCAAATGCAGAGAGAGAATGCTTGGCCCCTTGGCTTTTCTCTTTTGAAATAAGTAGGGAGACAAAAATAAAATAAGAAATTTGCACTGAATATTTATTTTGATAAACATTGTGTACTCCAAACAACTACGTGTTATTTCAGTTGTAAGCCACAATCTTTTGGAAACGACGTCCCAAGAGCTCTTGTCATCATAAACCCGACAGTCAATGCACCACCACGGTCTGTGGACATAGAGAGCTTTCAAGTGCAAAGCAGATTATCAGAAAAGACACATTGCCAACCTCCTTAACAAACTGGACAATGCTCAACTCCAGTAAAAATGCTTCATATGTCTGCAATTTAGTTGTCTTAGTGCCATTGTAATAAATTAATAGAAAATATATCTTTTTTTTTCATTGGAAAGTCTATAAGAAAATGTACAAACATCTAACTCCGAAAAAGGACCAGCTGTTTCGGCGACAGGTAAAACAAGCAGTTGAACAGAGGCAATAAAACCCAAACATCCGAACAAACAAAGAGACAAACAAACAAAATGCAACCAAAAAACCCCCACTTCACCAATGGCAACTGTGTAGGCAAACATGGAAACATCTGCAGGAATCAAACCTTGCAGAGAGGCTCACTGCAGCTCATGAGGACAGAGGACGAGCAGTTGGGGAATTCACTGGTCAGAGTGTGCACTCTTTGAAAAGAGTTTCTAGAACAGTCAGAGGCTGAACAGGAATCACTTGGCACAGGGCTCTTGCTGACTGGAGATGGCAGCAGGCTCCATCCTGCCTCCAGAGGACACACAGATGGCTCCAGGCCATGCAGGTCACCAGGGGCATTTCCCTGCACGCAGCCACGATGCTCTGCTGTCCCTCGGGCTGGCAGCCTGCAGTGATTCCCTGCAGGTATTCACAGCAGGAGACCCTCCCCAGCTCCAAAACAGGCCCCATGTGCCAGGCTCAGCATCACAGGACAAGCTGCTTAAGTTTTCTCTCTTAATAAGGTGAGATCTTTTAGAAAGGAAAAGAAAAAGGTTTTTTTCCTAGAGCCAAGTCTTATCCTTTCACCCTCAGAATTCCCAAAACAGCAAAATCAGAAGCTACACTTCAGCACAAAGGCAATGTGCTCCTAGAAGCTGAACAAAGCAGTTTGGGGACAGACCCACCTGGTGGGATGCTCCAGGGTGTTTACACTCTTAGAGGGAGCAGGAGAGGGGAAATGGCTGTGGCCAGTGGAGCACTGCAGAGGGCAACCCCGGCACTGGGGCTTGTACAAAGCCAAATCCCACTCCAGGCACATCCCAAGCCTGGCTTTCCTGCCCACCATCTGCTAAGTGCTCATGGAGGAAATACTCCTGCTTTGGTCCATCTCCTGGAAGCAAATGTGTTCCACCAAAACTGCTGCAAACAACAGCACTGGCTCAGGGCAGGGAAAAGGTTTAGACAACCCAAACTGGCTGACCCAGGGGAATTCCTGTTAGTCTCTTCCCTTGGCTTCATGGATCTGGCACTGTTGTGGCCATCACAGGACATCAGATAAATGTTTTGGATGATCATGGTTGAAACACCAGTGAGACTGACTCTTTCATGGAATAATTTGTGAAATCCCCAAACTATCATAAGAATTTTGGGGAATAAACAACCCACCTTATTTGCCTTTTTTAAATGTTGCCCATTCACTCTGCAAACGGCACAAATGCCTAAGGAGCATAAGGAGCATTCATTACCAGACTCTTGTTGGGAAGCTGGGAGGGAATGCTTGGCTCTTTTTTTTTTTTTTTTTTTTTTTTTTTTTTTTTTTTTTTTTTTTTTTTTTTGTTAAATACAATACACGTGACATTCAGTGAATTCAAAACAATTTTGTAGCAAGTCTGAAAAGAACATTTCCAGTTTCAAAACCCAGGAGAGGCTTGAGTGGAATGTAACCTACAGTATATCTAAATTTTGTTCATGCTTGCTTTGACATTCAGAGCAACTTATCTAAACCAGTATCTGCACAGCCTTTGGAATGACAAACAAAATCCTTTCTTTTTAGTCTAACTTCAAGGTAACATTTTTGATACTGTGGGGAAAAAGAAAAACCTAATTAACAAACAAAGTAGCCATCAGCAATTGGAATAATTTATGTGGCAGTGGGGACAGGCAGAGATAAAGTGGGGAAATAAACCCAAGTCTTACTGGCAAGATTGACATTTTTTAAAAGCTTGTCATGATGTCTTTCACACTTCCCCCCTGCCCTCAGATTTCTTAGAACAGCCACAGCCTCCAGAAATGCCTGTGTGGTATTTTGGAGCAGCTGACAGAAATATCACTGAACACTAGAAATGCTTTCAGTGTTTTACAAGGTAATGTTAACATCCCACCTTCAAGAGATGCCCCTGTGAAGTCCTGATCCACTCTGATCTGCCATCATTACCCAGGTCTTCGTTAGAAGCAGAGGGAAAGGAGGTACAAGACATCCAACTAGTGCATTGGGATTCCCACTTTAATTCTTCAGCCTCCTGGAAAGACCTCATCCAGGTCTCATGTAACTCTTACAGGAGGACCAAGACATAATATCTTTAGCCTGAAGACAGGATCAGAAAGCAACACACAGCAGAGCAGTCTGATCCTGTTCCCCCTGATGTCCTGGGAAAGGTGAGGGCAGCTCACCCTATTTGATGCTGAATAAGGTAAGTCCCAGTATTCCCAGTCAAAAATTAGAGGCCCTGAACTGGGATGGCATTAGCTGGCAACCATAAACTGATTCTGCATGTCATTATACAGAGGGAAAGGCTGAATGGGAAAGGCTGAGAAAATACATGTGCTAATTGACATTGCTCTCCTTCTAGCCTGCAGCTGCTTGTTGAAGGAAAATTTCCTGTTTGCACAGCCACTATTAAAACTCCTTGATCCATAGGAAAAACGTGGTTTTCTGAGGAAGCAGGAATAGGTGGTTCCATCAGTCTCTGCTGGCATGTTTTGTCCACTCCTTCTGTCATTTCTTCCCCAACTATGTGCCGTGGGCTGCATGTACAACACACACCCCAAAGAGCTTGACCAAACCTCACAGAAGCTTTAGGGGAAATGCTTACTGTCCAGTTACACTTCCCAGCACCCAGGAAATCACTCAAATCCACTCTTTCTCCACCAGATTGTCAACCAGTCTTTGAACTGGCATTCCAGTCTGCGTAGAGCAGCTAGTTACACTACGGAAAAGGAAAAGTCACCTTAGAGGATGGTGGAAGCAACAATCCTTGGCGGTCTTCAGACCAAGAGCTCCCCTTCACGAGGCAGCACGAACACCAGTGTGTCCCAGGAGCGCTGGCAGAAGCAGCGCCTGCAGGAACAGCCCAGGCCTCGCTCGGTGCCGCCAGAGCGGCCTCAGCGCCCGAGCCAGCCCGGCCCGGCGGCCCCGAGCACCCGCTGGCCACAGCGCCAGGCTCCGCTCTCACGTGTGGCCCCTCCAGCTACTTACAGTGAGATTTCTTTTTGAACAGCAACAACAACAACAAAATGCTACGCCGGTGGCGCGGGCGGGCGAGGCCAGCGCAGAGCGGTCAGTAGTCCGTCCGTCCGTCCGTTTGTCCGTCCATCCCACGGGGCGGTGCTGGCGGCCAGCAGGCACAGCAGGGTGTCCTCACAACTTCATTTTCTTCACCACAGGAATTGGCAGCGCTTGGTAGATTTTGGCCGAGTCCTCGTTCGTGACCAGCTTCACCCAGACGGGGCGGAAGCTGCCTTTGAAGCCGACAAAAGCCATTTTTTCTGCAAATCAGAGCAAATGTGTTTGGAGTGTGCCAGGACTGCACCAGAAACCCACCTGTGTGCATGGCTACACCTGATGGCTGGAGGGCTGCAGGTGCGCAAGAGCCATGTGTGTAACATGCACACACACACAGATGGAATCATGCCAAAAGCTGGCAGAGCTGATTGCAGCAATGTGCACGTGGAGCTGTACTCTAATGCAGTATGTGATGCTCTGAAATCAACATGCTTTGTGCCATCAAGTCAGAATGTTTCAAGAGAAAACCAGCTAAAAACAAATACAGACAAATAAAAAATCCTGGTTTGGGGCATTTAGTGAGTAAAAAGACTCAATATTTCTATTATTAAAAAGTCTTTTCATCTAAACTTAATCTGGAAAATCAAATCTCCTGAATTATTTACTTCTAAGAAGAATGGCCAGTGTGTTTTTTCTATTTACAGTTTTAAACAGAGCATGTTACCCAAAGCTGCAGTGGATACAACATTCCTGAATAAATAAATTACTGGTTCCAGGATGTTTGAGCACGTGATGATAGAAACAAGCAAGGCAAAGTTCAGAAGCAGAAAAAATATCCCTTTACTAGAATAATGGGAGGTTAGAAATGGGTTTTTAAAAACTGGTTACCTTTTAACCTAAAACCCTCTCCTGCTCCAAGTTTCTCCAGTACTTTAGTCCATGGTCCTCTTGAAATGAATCTTCCTTTAGATGTCACCAGCACTATGGAGCTGAAGGAAACAAAGAGGTGTGTAAATGGGTGAAGAGTCAGAGCACTTTCCTCCCTTGTTTGTGAATTTAAGTCTGCAGTTTGTCTATAACCCACAACATAAATGCAGCTCTGCAGTTTATCAATCACGTGCAGCCCTGCACAGTATCTGGGGCTCAATCAGTCCCTGAATCAGAGTGTGCATCCTGCTGCTGCCTGCATGCCCTGCACACATTTGGGCTCTTTTGGAGTCATCAGGCACAAAAATACATTGGGTGTATTGTTCTGCTGTTGGGTGTCTGGCCCATGTTGGGTGATAAAATCCAAGAAAAAGACGAGTGTTATGCATTCTTGTACATTGCACCTTAGTGAGAACAGATTATTTACTCACTGATCTTTGATGTTGTTGACATAATTCTCTATCTGTGCTGGGATTCCTTGTAGAATGGAGTTTTTGAATGTTACTCGATCAACAACTTTTCCATGGTGTCCATCAATCACAACCAGCTGGATGCCCTCTTCAGTGAGGAAAAACCTGACACCATCAACCTGGGCAGGGGGAAAAACATTCTTCATCTCTCACAGTAACACAATTGCAAACAACCACCTATAAGAAGCACTGATAGTCTTGAGTCACGGGACTGCTGTTTGCTTCAAAGGGCAGAATTCCAGGTCTCTGAGATCCTACTATCCTGCCTATCAGGACAAGATACTGCCCTTTTTTTTTCCCCCAAAATACAAAGCAGAAATGACCCAAATTTAACTCTCCATGGTAACTTTGTAAGCAAGTTTTCCGTGATGATAAAGCAAGTGGTGTAGAATTGCACCCCATTAAGTTCATTGAGAGGATTTGCTCACCTCAATGTATGCAAAGTCATCCTTCAGGTGGAAGTACTGTTTCTTGTATGTTTCTATTTTCACTTCAATTAGGTGGTCCTTGGTCTTCTGCTTGCAAAACAAAAAACCCCAGATTTTCTAGTGAGAATGTCCATTACCTGAATGCTGTGTCTTCATTGAAAACATTTCAAACCCTGAAATTCAATCAACAAGGAAGCTACCTAATAAGCACTGACCTGCCAAATTAAATTCCTTATGAAACTGGGCACAATGGTAACCTCTCTGCTCATCCTGTCACCAGTTAAGCTGTTTCACTGAATGACAGAGTGATTCTTACTTTGCAGAACTGACACATAATTCTCCAAGGCTTTGCTGTGTATTCCTGTTTCAAGGGCGATGAGTGAAAAAACCCAAATAACAGATAAATACCCCAATTCCTCCCCCAGAACCAGACTGCATACTGGAGATTGTGTTATGCATTATATAAATGACAATAATTCAACTCTACTATTCAGTCCCCTGTCTGTCACTGCTGTCCTTACAGCCTGGAGGAGCTGGAGGCTCCAAAATCACATCCACTGGACCAACCTGTCTCCAGCTCATCAGTTTTCACCCTGTGCTTTCAAGACCAGCACGTCACATCAGAGCCCCAAAAGAACAAGTATACAGCTTGCAATGGCTCTCCATACATTCCAAGAATCTGTTCCATATTATTTCACCCGCCTGAACCATTTCAGAAAATCAGGCACAGCATATGCTGACCCTGGCACAAAGTTTTTCTCTATCTGTGGGCTCAATATGTGCCAGATTTACATGAGCAATGATTCTGTGATAAGAAAGCAGCTGCTTTACCAGTTGTGCACTGGAGAGCTTCTTTGGCATTGGCACTTCCACTATTGGTGTCTCAATGTACTTGGGGTAGGCTGTGGCTTCACAGTCGCTGACACCAGCTGTCTTTGGGATCACAGCTTTGATTCTTATTCTCTCACAGCCCTTTACAGAGCAGAAAGCAAACTTCTCCTTCTCATTTTGAGCTTTGAGTTTCAGAAACAGCAACCTGCAGGCAGGAAAAAAAAATAAACAGCGTCCTTCAAACATTTTATGCAAAAACATACTGTTTTGGTGGTCTCTTTCCTATGGTTTACAATAATTTTCATTGCAGCCCTTGGCCCTGTGTTTTATAGTGCCCAACATCCCACATGCAAATAAAAGGGAACACTCATCCCAGAAATGGTTTAGGGAGTATTATGGAAAGTAAAACAGAGAAATCAGATAGCACCTGAACACCTTCTGAGCTCTATTCCATGGTGATACATATGTAGAAATACATGCTTTGTATTTTAGGTCTTTCTTTCTTTCCCTTTATTTTAATCCTTTAAAACAACAGGCTTTGCACTTAATTCCTGTGCATCCTTGTTATGGTGTTTATAAATAGTTTTTGTTCAAAACAATAAGGGCTGTGCATGTCTTCAGTTAAGTTTTGTAGTCGGCACTTGCTTTTGTCTTTCTCTTTTTTTTTTCTTTTTTCCTTTTCTAACTTGGAAAGGCCTTTCCCAGAGTAATTGGCAGTGCAGCAGAGGCTGTGAATGAGTGGCAGGCCTGGGAGTCCCAGGAAAATTAAACACTGGTCGCATTCCCAGAAAACCTTCCTGGTTTGGTTGCGATCCCCGCTAGTGGCATGAGGCAAACAGCTCACAGCTCCAGCAGCATTCCCAAAGCAGTGTCCAAGGCAGCAAGGCCTGCTGTCTTACCCAGTGTCCTCATCCCAGTAGTAGTACCCTTTGGTGGGGTATCTGTGCTCCAGTTTCTCCATTTGGGAGGTTCTGTAGAAGGTGCCAGTTTTGTATGTTTTCTTCAAGAGACGGTTGTGGATGTCTGAGAGAATGGAAAATGTCGTCCCTTTAGGATAGCAAAACCCTACTTGGATCCAGTCATTCCTAAAAATAGCAAAGGACCACATTGTAACGAGTTATAGCATAACTATTCTTTTCCTGGGCAAGCTAGAAGCCAAACTAAATAATTTACAAAAAGTTTTTTGCTGTCCAGTTAAAATTTTCATGGTTTAGAATGGATTAATGCAACATAAATTAGACATAACAACCATAGGTTAGTTAAGCAATTAGGGCAGATCTGCTCCTGACTTCTACACCTGTGATTTCCATGCACCAGGAATGAATTAGCTCTGAAGCTCCAAAAATGAACTGTGTTATCTTACAGAGCTTCCTGGGGGAGGAAACAGGAACCTGAGATGGCTCATGAAAAGATGAACTCAATGGACTTCCTGTAACAGGCATGTTCATTCTGGAAGAGCTCATGAGGTGATGACCTCACCCATTAAAAATGTGCAGTTACATGACTGTACTGGAATGCTGGGATTCAGTTCACTCACTTGTTGAAGTTGATGAGCCATATGGCCAGCTCTTCAGGGGCTGTCTTGTCCCAGTGGATGGTGTAGCCTTTCCTCAGAGTTACAACTGGCTGATACTGCTGGTAATGAGTGCTTTTGCTCAAAGCCCCTTCCAAGTAGAGTGGGTGATTGTGGTAGTCATTTTTTATTATTTTCATTTTCAGGTTGGCTGGCTTGTAGGCTTGGATGTACATCTAGATGGAAAAAAACCCCAACCAAACAAAAAAAAAGATCACCAAGGGTTTAATGAACTACAGTGAAAGGTTCAGATACTCAATAGATGTGAGCTGGAGCAAGTCCTGTGTGCTGGGCAGGAACCTGTGGGCTGTTCACTTATGTTCAATTTCTTAGGCTTCCATTTCAACAAAGCAAACGATTTTCAGGGAAAAAAAAAAAAAAAAGGCTCATTTCCTCATCCACTGAGTTCAAGTGCACATGCCAGAGGCTGCAGCAGGGCTGAGATATTCCACAGCATCCCGCAACCCTCAGCAGCAGGACAGTATCTACCTCAGACATCTGACTTGTGCTGAACAAGGATCCTTCTGTCTGCATTTCAGAAGGCTGAAACCCAGTTCAGTGGTTAGAAATTGGCTGTAGGGGCACTATACACAAAAAACCCCAACTGTTGCTACACACAAGACAAAGCCAGGCCCTCTCAGCAGAGGAGAGTGAGGACTCTCATGGCAGCAGCACTCAGGGCTCCTGTGGTGGGAAGAATGGTTTGGTGGTCACACACAGGATGAAACACCATGAAAGCTGAAATCTAATTTCAACTCATCAGCACATTTCCCATAACACTGTGGGCAACACTTCCCTCCATAAATCAGGGAAAAATAACTAGCTGACAGCCCATGGATTTATGAATATTAATCTGTGAATGCCCACGGAGCTCTCAGGAGGGTTCAGGCAGAACTTGTTGGAGCTGTCAGCAGCCAAGGCCAAGGTTTCAGAAAATACACCACAGTATTTCTCATGTTCAAAGCCACCTGTGCAGACACGCCGATAAATAAACACTGAGCACTCTGAAGAAAGTCCATTTCTACAGGTCAAGCTTTAAAGTGCCAAGAAATTTTAAACAAACCAGAGTGATAATGACACTGCAAGGTGAGCAGCCTTACCTGTGCAAAGTGCCCGCTGCAGATGGAGCCTCTCCAGTCGGGCACGTCAATGCAGTCAGGGTGCTTGATTAACCAGTTGTCTTCTTTGATCAGGTATGAGCCTGGGTATTCTGACACAGAACCATCTACATCATGAAAAACTGATGTTTTGTCACCATCCATATCCAGATCATTGAACCACGGGCCAGGTTCTCCAAAGAAGACTCTTGAAGTAATCTAAACAAAGTATTGGAACAAATTACATCTCCAGAAAGGAATTCATCACTTAGAGTACAACAAAAGGATGCCCTTGGTCACTACAATGGCTCAAATTACCCATTTTCTGACTTAAAAGGTGTGTTTGACTTGTCAGGCAGAGCAGACACACATTTCCCTGCTGACCATGGGGGAAAGGCTAAAAAAAACCACAATTTCAGCCCCACCAGCAGGAAGGTTTGTCTTAAAATTCTGGAGGGAGGTTCAGGAGATGGGGTGATTTCACAAGAGCCACTTCACTCATTGTTTGCTAGCACAGTTTCAAAGTTCCAGGCCACATGAAGTCATACCAATGTGGGAAACAGTCAGCCCTGGGAAATGGCTGCTCAGGCAACTTCTGACTGATATTTTTATCCAACATAAATAAATGTCATGTTACCAGCCTGCCTTGTGCAACGTGAGAGTGACCAACCAACAATTTTAGGGGAATTTGCCTTTCCCATCATATTTGGCACTGGTCAGCACTTTTCCTGACCTGTGAGAAAGCCTGCTAATTTTTTGAAAATTAGGCAATATAAATAATTTCAGCCCAACCACTTTATCTATTTATTTGTTTGTATTGTTTGGCAGCTGGATTTAATAGCTGCTAAAGGTGAACCTCAGCGAAACAGTTAGCACGTATTCTTGTGGGTAAATACAAAAATAACTCAAAAGAACAGGCCCCAGGACGGGTTCAGACCAGCACCCAGAGGCTCATACTGCAATTCAAAATTTGGCAAACCCCTTTTGGCTGGACTCTGCTCTCATTTATGTCTGCAGAACTGGAGTCTGGAATTACCCTGGTGTGCAGGGCTGCAGAATTATCCTGCATCAGCTCAGTTTCACTGGCTGTTCCCCAAAATCAGTATTTTCTGCTTCTAGGTCAGTCAGACCTTCCAGAACAGACTTCCTTCTGTTGCTTTAATATTATACCACTGTTGAAAATAAAAGGGGGCTGATTCTTCAGTTTCTGAGCCATACAGAAATGGAAATAATTTTGGGGTTTTTTTTTAACTGTTCCCTGCACCTGTTTTGCTGCAAACCTGACAGACAATTGGATCTTTTTGTCACTGCACCCATCACATTTCCTCTTCCTTTTCGCTGTTAGACTTCTGGCAAAGACAACCAGCAAGCTTTGCTCCTTTTTGCCCACACCCCCATCTCCAAGGCACGGGGGCTGTCTGGGGAGGGTGACTCACGGGGACATCCTCGAAGCGGATGGCGGTGACGTTGTTGTTGGGGCAGCTCTGCCAGGCGTTGTTGAGGCGGAAGGCGAGGGCACTGGTGTGCCGCCCGTCCAGCGCCGCAAACTTGCGGAACGTGCAGTTCTGGACGTTGATGGGCCCGTCGTAGAACTGAATCCCTCGGATGGGGAAATCCCTGAAATACAGACAGACTTGGTCATGGCACGTTAGCATCAGGAGGAGATGTATTCTAGACACGCACGGTCCCACAGCACTTGTTTTGTGGCTGCTTTCACGTCTTGCAGGCCATAGGATGACTCCTAAGTTCCTGCTTTGGAAGAGAAGGGATTTCCCTTCTTCTCAGCTCTCTTATCCTTGCAAGTTCAGCTCAAGTTCTCTCGTGTTGAACAGATCATCTTTATTTAGCCTGTACTTCTCCAGGGAAGGAAGTAACAGCAATGCCAAAGGACTGAGCTAAAGATGAATAAATTCATGTTTGCCATCAGAAATGAGTTCTGCAGCAGTGAAACCTGAAACTCAGCAGAGCTGTGCAGACTCCTTGGGCTGAGTAATGGCAGGGCTAAAAGAAGTCCCACCATATCTTTCTAAGGGATTTGGAGAGAAGCATTGCAAATCAACTGCAACAAAAAAATGTTTTTGAAAACAAGGAAAGGTCCTACAATCTATAGAGCTGTGAAGAGTTGATGGGGCAGATTAATTAATCTTTACCAGCCTTTTCTGATATTTGTTGCAAGGTAAAGAAGACACCATTTTCATACCAATTAAATTAACAAGATGCTTAAGGTCTTTAAGAGGCTAAGATAAGACATTTCAAATTTCACTTATGATAAATAAATTTGATCCCTTCCTCATATGATCCCTTAGAGAATTCCTGCCTGCTCCAGTGCATTTGTTCTGAGTTTCTGCATACAACATCCAAGATGAGATATGTCCACAGATGTGTAAAGGATATTAGAAGAGTCATAGCAGAATGGGTTTTCATTATTGGTATAGTTTATAATAAGTCTCCAGCATCACTGCTGACAGCAAAATTGAGCCTGCAATATGGCAGAAGAGCATCAGCTGAGCTGTTTGCTCACTGTGGGGCTACTGTGAGAATAATTTTGGTTTTAGGAAGTAAAAGCATTGCACTTGCAAACCAATCTGTAGGACTGAGGTCTAGGAGGAGGCTACACATGACGTTCATTGGCCATTTCAAAACTCCTTAACAAAGGCATCAAAGTCCTTTGCAGTAAACAGTAACAGCAGCACTGAGCACACACATGAGCACATGCAAGCCCAGGAAGGGGTTTCTGTGAGCCTTCCTGGCAGCTGATGGAGCTCAGCTCATTGCTCAGCACTGCTGATCACACAGACAGAGGTGCCCTGCTAGCACAGAGTGCTCTTGCTGTCCTCTCCTTGCAAAGGGGAGGGGGAAAGAAAGAGGAGCTTAATCTGTCTTGGCAGCCTGCAAGGATGTACCTGCCAGCAGCAGCTGCACAGTGAGGACTCTGGGACTGGGAAACATGAAATTAAATCCTTTCTGTGTAATGGTTATTAAACTGAACAGCGCTGAGGAAACCACACTGGGCTGGATTTGTGCTGGGAGTGGGAACTGTGAGTGCTTTGATGTGCTGAGCTGAACTTACGGGCCGATGGGCAGGGTCCTTCCCCGGTGATCCAGACCTCCAGGCCCCCAGATCTCATTGTCCATCGTCTCAGTGCCCAGGTTTCCACTCTCACCCACAAACAGGCTGTTCTTGATCTCCTGCTTGGAGCCGTCGTCGTGAGGGAAGGTCCCACCGCTGAGAAGAAAGGGCTGGAGGTGAAAGGGCTGCTGACAGCCAGCCCCGTGCCCAGGCTGGCACGCAGCCCTGCCACACTTACCTCGCCAAGGTCAGCCCAATGCCGTTGTCAGCAAACCTGCCAAGAGAAGAGAGATGCTTCAGAAGAGATTCGGGGCTGCTTTGGTTCATCATGTCAAACTATAGCAAGCAAACTAGTGGGGAACAGCAGGGTTTAATTACTGTGCTCAGGGGAACTCGGGTTTTTCCAGACTTGTTCCCATTCCAGTTTTAGAAGATCTCTTTTGGCACATCTTGCAGAATTTGCAGATCACATGAAGCAGCAGACACACACCTGATTGCTCCAGCTGGGTTAAGATGGTGATTACTAGCCATCGTTTATTTGCCTGATAAAGCTTTATCCCTTTGTCTAATGATCACACACTTTTCTCTGGTAGATAAAAGAATCATGCTTATCTCCCACTCCAACCAGCTTTTATTATTTAATGGTGCTTTGCTTTACACACTGTGCTTCCCTGTCCTCATGTTTCACAAAATGTTTCCATAAAAGAGCTTTGCAAGGTAATAAAAAAAGAGCAGCTTGGCTTCTCTTTCCTCAACAGGAATACAGAGATCAGAGCTTCCTTATTTAAAAATAATAATTTTAAAAAATCAGAATATCTTTCTATTTTGCTGAAATTTCAATATAAGATAAATAACAGATGTTGGTCCTTGACTGCTGCTTAGAGAAATGCTGCAATGAATTGATAGTTCGAGTCAGTCTTGATGGTGACTTCACACCAGCATCACCTCCCACGTCTGTCACTGATCCTGCCAGTAGTTTGGGAGCTGATCCCCTCACTGTGCTGCTGTCTGTAGGTGGCAGCCCTTCCCACCCTATCACCTCCTTGCTTCCCTGCAGGCCACATTAACGCTGTCCCTGTTAATGGGATACATAAATTAGATTCTAGCCATAGAAAAGGAAATTACTCTGGCTATAAAGACAATTACAGTTTGATGGCTGCTTCCTCCAATTCACACACACTCAGAGATTTGCTGCTGGAAACTCATAAAGCACTTGGTGATTTAGCACCCTGCCTTTGCTCCAGCAAAGGATATTCAGCAATGCAAATGTCCCAGTGACCGAGTGGGATCTGTGAGGGCAACACCTGCTGGCCGTGGAGCGGGGTGGATTCTTGTGGGTCATAAGAAACACAAACTGTATTGCTCAAAATGACATTTCTGAGTTTTCTGCTACAGCCCCATTCTCACCAGCACTACTGCCAGCTTATCCCACTGGTTGCTTTAAGAGGTTTGGGTCACTGGAAGGTAATGCAGCTCTGGCTGGGAATTGGACACCAGATATCAGCATGGCAGCCATTCCCACCAGGGTTATCACAATATCCCTCCGAAAGGGGCTTTTTCCTTTTTCTCCTCTTCGCTAGGATTGAAATCAGGAGCCTGGCTCAGAAACAGAAACTGCAGCAGGTCATCTGTTTTCAAGTGCAAAACAAATATCAGCTCTGGCCAGGGCAGGAAATGGCCTTCAAAGAGCACAACACACACTTGCTGCTGTGATGCATAGTTGTATGTCTGCTTCATCAGTACCTGCTTATTCAGCATTACACTGAACCACATAAAACTGATCTGTGATCAGGCTGAGCCAGGAAAGGTGGTGCATTTCACTGTTTTCTTTTCAAAGCACCTCATCTTTAATATTAAAAAAATTAGGTTTTATTTTTAGTTATTTGCATCTGTGTATCTGTGTGTGTGTATTGTGACAATTTGTTGCTGGTCAGCATCTCATCTTTAATATTAAAAAAATTAGGTTTTATTTTTAGTTATTTGCATGTGTGTGTATTGTGACAATTTGTCAGCATTGCACAGAGAAACAACCTGAGGGATGCTCAGCTCAGACAAAGCAGGTTTTGTTTGTGTAAAATAATGCCTGTGGTGGCTTAACATTCCATCTTCATTTCAGTCTTGGCCATATGAAAGGTGCAAAGCGATATAAATAGTCTGAACCACAGCTATGCTTGCCATAAACACCAGGCTGAACTCTGAGAGTTGAAATAAGGCAAAACTCACTGGCAGTTGTCCAGCCACACATCTCCACCTCGCAGCCAGGCCCCGTGATCCTGATTCTTGTAGGCAATAAAGCCCTCAATTATTGCAGGTTCCCTGGGCTTCAAAGGATCAGCATCCTTGTGTGGGCTGTACCTGCAACCAGAAGGAGAGAGGAAAGGTTGGCGAGGGAAGGCGGCCTTGCTGCCTGCATGGCCCTGCTAAACATCTGCTTTATGGTAACTCAGGAACAGCTTTGGGACCACACTCCATCCACATAGTGTGTCTGCCCAAGCTGTGATGGCCAGGCCCAGCTGCCAAGGAAAGGAAGGTCCAGGCAAGGCAGTTGTAAAGACCTGCTCCAAGTTTCCTTTCACCTTTCTGGTATTGTATTGCTGATATATTGCTGAAAGCATGGAAAGTTTATTATTGCTCCCAAATGTTCCAGATATTTTTTTAATCTCTTGCTGCTATCCTTTAGCATGTTCCTGTTATTTAGATAAATATCCTTTTGTTTTCCCTTTTGAGCATTCTTATCTCCTAACTCTGGCTATACTGTGGCCATGAGTACCACTGCCAAATTTTTCTTGCTGTGGAAAGGAATTTAAAAATCTTGGAGAGGGGCTGAGAGTATGTCCTTCACTACTCCCACTACACAGGACACACGTACAAGATTTAGTAACCCTGAAGTTCTCAGTATGATGAAATATTGGCCCGCTTTGGTGAAAAAAAAGCAGAGAGAAGCAGAAACTGCAGCCATGTGTGCCCTCAGCTGCTCCCTGACAGCCACTGCTTGGGCCACAGGATCTGAGCAAGGTGATGCTGAGCTTGGCTGTCATTTACCCCATCCTGAGGCTCCTTTCTACTCTTGGAGTAGCATCCTCCATCACACTACACAGCTTAGAAAACCTGACAGATGAGTATCCAACTCAGTGCCAGCAACGGATGGTCCAGAGATTAAAATTCATTCCTCACCATGGATAGCGAGGCCAAGCTGTCAAATTGCTAACAGATATTCAATAGCACTTTGCTTTTCTTAATAAGCCATCATATCAATCTAAGACTGAGCATCAGGCTGATAGGGTTCCAATAAATGAATATTGCTTTGGCAGCTTCATCACTGTGAATTTACTTTCAGAGACAGATTTAGTATCAGCTCTCGTGAATTCCCCAGGCATTGTAAAGTACAGATATTTTGAGATGGATTCTAATTTCATTCACATTCATGATAACTGGAGGAACACTACAGGGTCCAGAATTTGACTTGGACATTTAATGCTGTTACTGAATGCAGAATAATCTCTCCAACTCTTGTCACTGTCCAGCCCAGCTCACAGTTTGCTCCAGCCAGCCCAACTTTAGTTATTTATTCAGTTCAGTCTTGACATGTGAAAGGTGGAAAATGGAATAAATAATCTGAGCTGCAGTTTATGCTGCTGGGTAATCCCCAAGCACAACCATGACTGCATTATGAATTGTTTGGCTTCCAAGGGCCATTCTTGCCCTTGTATGGCAAGGGAGAAATTGCCTTTTCTAACCACTAACTGTGCCTGTGGCAGCAGGCAGTTCCCCAAGGCATGTGTCCAGCTGCATGGAAAAGCAGCATCAGGCTCCCAAGAGCAGGCTGCTCTTAAGTTTTTTTTAAGCAGCTACTTTTACCATTTAATTAATCGCTTCAGCTAACTGAGCATTTAAATAATGTAAATAACATTCACTTTTGAACATCTTTAGCATCAGCTCTAGCCAGGGCGCTGGGGTGATGTGGATAACTGATATCTGAGCTCCTGGCTGGGCTCTCCTGGGAAGGAAGATGGATCCCACCCCTGTAATGCTTGCCCAGTGCATGACTACAGTAGTCTGGGTAACCCACACCCCAGAGATGAGAAGGAGACAGAGTTGTCATTCTCCCCTGCTGAGCAGAGGCTTTCAGCAGGTTTCTCTCCCTCACATGGTTTCTTCTGTCAAGAAATGCAGTTGTGGGGGAATGTAGGTTAGGGTGCGACTGGAGGCAATTGGTCTGTTGGGAAAGAAACTACGAAATTTGAGAGTATTTAAGTCCTTTTGCATGTCTGGGGGTTGGTAACTAAGAGCCAGACTCAACCTGTAATGAGATACAAGGGTGCAAGTGCAGCCCTTTCCTCAGCCTCCTCTGGGGACAGCTCTGGGGAAAGAGTGGGGTCTCAGAAGCCACCAGACCACAGAAGGTCTGCTGGTATGATACAGTCTAGAGAGAGGTTTCCATTATTTTTAAAGTGCTCCATTACACCACAGAGAGGCTGTGCACAGCAGCAGAAATGAAGGATTGCTCTGTGTATTTAATTGTGATTGTTACTGCAGCATCAGATTTGGGACTAGACTGAAATCTGAAATCAAAGCATGAGCTTCATGACATAAGCACTCCCTTTTCAAGCAGGTTCTAAAAGAATGAACAAAATTAATAGCATTCCCAAGAAATACTCAAATTTCTTATTCCTAAGAAACTCTTGCAGCAACTTCTGCCCAGAGGGACTGTTGACCAGGCAGTGAATTTCCTTCCTTATGTAAAAAATTTAAAAATCAATGGAACACCCTAGAGCAGATGTAGTATCTACACCAGCTCAGCTCAGAGCTAAAGAACGAGGATGAAACCAGAAGAGTGTGGGTGTTGAGGGTGTCTTATAAAGGGAAATGAAGAGATGAAGTCAGAAATGGCAAGGTGCACCTAAGTGAAGACCTTTCCTCAAAAAGAGCCACCCCAAAGGCATTGCAATGATTCTTTTGAGCTTCCCTGGAGCAATTTCATAGCTTTCAGTCAGTGTTTTAGAGAAGTCTTTTCCACATCAAACTATGCAAAACACTTTACCTCCCAGAAATCAGTGTCAGGATAGGTCTTTTGTCCTTGGCAGAGGCTGGGGTGGTTTTAACGCCGTTATCGATGATCATTCCAGCCTAAAAGAAAACAGAAATGTAATTATCACAGTATATATATACATTTTACAGCTCTTTCCATCTCCAGACTCTATCTCCAATTGTTCTAAGCCAAACTCACCCACATGATGCTAAGAACAGCTTCTGTTAATAGCATGTGAAACCGAGGGCTGCCAGGACTTGTATATACCCCCCAAAATGGCTGCAAATTCCCAAAGCTGCACTTTTCTCATAATTGCATGTATTCCCATGCACCTAAACCTTCTGCTTCAGCCTAAAGCCCTCAGTAACACACAGCCCCACAACATGGCACGCTAAGGAGAAAATAAGCAGAGACAGCGATTAGACACAGCGGCCGAATTTATCCCTCTAGAAGCTGTTCAGGTAATTGCCAGCATTGGCAGCTGAGGTGTATAATTAGACAGGCTGCCAGCAGATGCTCCTGGAGGCAGTATTTCAGGAGCACAGAGGCAGGGAAGCAGCCCCAGCAGAGGGGAGAGCCGCTCTGGATGCCCAAGCGGAGCAGGTGCCGGCTGGCTCCGAGCGCTCCCGCGAGCTGCCTTATCTCAGACACAAGCGTGCAGAGCTCCGAGAGAAACAGGAGGCACAGGCTCTAATAGCTTTCAGGCCTGGGAAGCTGGAGTGAGGGATGGGGTTTGTTCCGAGGCAGCGTTCCTGTTCCCGTTGCGTGCAGACTCACCCGGTAGTTGGAATGCGCGCGGTTGTTGGAGAATTTCCCCATCGGCATGTGCTCGGAGTAGCCAGGGGAATACATGCCTGCCGAAGGGCCAGTGGGCACGTGGTGCAGGACAAACCAAAAGCCTGTTTCCTGAGAGAGAGAAGGGACATCTGAGACTTTGCTGATCTGCACTAGCCCCAGGAGAGCCACAAGACACATGCTCAGGACAAATCACAGCCACTGACCCATGTAACGCCTGCAGCAAAGAGTTTAACGCACATGAGCACTGATATTCTCCCTTCTGATCTTCAGGGTGCCTCAGGTTGAGTTTTGGCATCAATATTGGAGCATAAGTGAGGCTTTCCAAATTTAAAAATTAAATAATTTTTATTTAGTTGCCTAAAAATTGATCACTGAGTCCTAATATAGCTACCCAAGATTTGAAAGCATTGGAAAGACCACATCTCTCTGTTTTAGGCTTGGTTTTCTTGGTTTTATGTCTTCTCAGGATAATAAAGATCCTGATGTAACCAAAACTGACTGTGGAATTAGCATTTGGGCTGACTGAAATTTTGGAGCACCATTACTGTACCACAATCAACAATATCATTGCCAAAGGCTTCTCTGTGACTCCACAGTCACATTTGTTTAATTTATTCAGGCTGCACACTATGGAATTTTGTTAAATACAGCTCTAGAAACAGCAAGTGACAAGAAGTTTGGAGCAAAAGTAAAACCATTCTTTTTATTGGTGGCACCAGCCACATTAATATGTGTCTCAATCAAGCAGCTTTAAAAATGTCTGTGACACAATAGCAGGTTTTATTCCAGTGAGAGCCTCCCTCAGCCTTGCAGGGCTGTCACAGGCCTGAGCTGTTACCAAATAAGAAACTTGTGCACTCACTTCAGATCCAGCAGCTGCACAGTTTATAAGGTTGTTGTGTGGGTTGGCTATCCAGAAGGTGGATACAGCACTGCAGGTCAGAAAAACAAAGAATAACACGAAAATGACAGTTTGAGCACACACCAGAGTCACCCATAAACTCCCCCAGTGCAGGCAGGGCTGATACCTCCCCAGATAAGGGGCCCTGCCTAGGGGCAAGAGGAATGTGTTTTTCCTTTTTCTTCTCATACCTCGTGTCCTCTGTGGTTTGACAGAGAACATGGCCTTATCTTTTAAAACACCATGTATTAAATGAGGAATTTCAACTGCAATTCCAAGCCTGCTATGAAGCTGTCAGATGTCAATCATGTTTTGTGATAAGGTAAATATGTTGTTGCACAAGTCACAGAAAAGAACTTTGCCCCCACATAAGCCCTTGGGTTCATTAGAGACTCGTTTAATCAGGGAACCCAATGAATTGCCTGCTAAGGGCTTTCCAAGTGTACCCCCGCATCTGCCTGTTCCAAGAGCTGCTGTGATTGATTAACTTTATTTACTCCCACCCTCCTGCACATTTATTTTGGGACAAAAGCATTCCATTTGTCTAATGCACATAAAAGACTCTCAATTGAAAGATTCCCATCAAGGAGGACAGATCAATCCATCCATCACTGTCCATCCTGTGACATCCAGAATTTGTTAACCAACAAGCACGGCAAACATCCAGCACTTACAGCCAGCAGACTGGCCCCTACATTTGCTGGGTGAGATTTGCCCTTCTGCAGGATATGAACCTGTGGAACCCTTGTGTCTATTTTAATCTTGCCTGAGGGACTTCACAGGGGCTTTAGACCAACTGATTTTGCTGATGCATTTCCGTTTGTCTGAATTTATCATGAAAACAGCAAAATTTTTCTATTTTGGGCGTGGGACTGGCCTAGAAGTAAACAAATTTGGATTATTTATAGACCACCTCCTGCTGTGTAGGCAAGGGCAAGGACAGTGTATTTCCACAGTGACTTGTCTTTCAGCCTAATCCGTTCTTCAGAGCCTCATGGATTGGGCAGGTTATGGTGTCATTTGGCACAATCCTGTTGTTTGAATTCCCAGCAGCAGCTCCCTGCCTGCCTCTCCCAAGCTGCTGGAGCCACAGCTGTTGCTCATCCTCTGTCTCTGCACTGGGATTAGTGTTGGTGTACTCATGCACTTCCAGGCTGGATGAGCCCAGTGCAAAACAAGCTGAGCTGTTTTTCTGACCAGATCTTGAATTCTTTTATAAAAGAAGACAGGGCAGATCAAAGTACCTTAACACCTTTCCATTAGAAAGCACTCATTCATGCAACAGTCTTCAAAATTACACACAAAATATGTCCCTATGACTATTAAACAAATTATCAGTGGAAAATTAGCACATTGGCTAATTAACCCTTATTTTAAGAACAGGGACATTAGGGGTATTTTATAAACAAACACAGATGTGAAAAAGAGCATTGCATGAATTCCTCTCTCTCCCTTGCCAAACTAAAAAGTTTAAAATACCTTTGTTTGAACAAAACCTCAGCTTATTCTGAGGACAAAATGGGTGATACTGAAATCTTTTCAAAAACAGTTGCCATTTGAGATGAGCACAAATGTCAGAATGTGGCCCATTCTGAACTCAGCTACTTTCTGCTGAGCCATCACCAAAATGATGGTTCAAGACTCTACAAAGCCCCAGGCAGCACACTTTGAAAGAAAGATTTACAATATTTTGGGTGGGAACCATCTCAATGGACTTTATACAAAAAGTTAAAAGTACACCCTAGGTATGTAGGTATCTGAATAGCACAAGGATGAAGACCCCAAGGAAACTGCTCTCCCAAATTTGGGGCAAACAGACCAAACCCCTACAGATATCTACATAATCCCATACACAGAATGCTGTCTGTTATGGCCAAGTCCTGCAAGGAGAAGGAAGAGAAGAGGAAGGCTCCCACTCACCTGCAGTCCTGCCTGGGCTTAGGGATGTAGCCTGGGTAAGCTCCCTCTGTGATCAGCTTGCACATCCTGCTGTCGCGGTCGGAGGGGAGCAGAGTGCTGGGCTTCACCAGCAGCCCCAGGCAGTGGTCAAACGTGTTGCGCTCCTCTGGGCCATCCTCCGTAAAAAAACAATGGCCCAGAGCATCATAACCCACCACATCCTTCACCTGCATGGACAGAACAAGGGTCAGTGTTGGGGTTCTATGCTTCAGCCACTGCACAATTAGAACAAACTTTAGTTGATGGCACATAGGAGTCTCAGTTCCCTTTTGAACTCAGGATCTATGACCTAAACCAAAAGCAAGGTTCCTCTCAGCCTGTAAGAGCTTATAGTCAAAGCAATAACTCTAACACTTAATTAGAATTTGTCATCACCTAGGAAATGCTCATTCCATTCCTTTGTTTGCCTGAGAAATCAGAGACTGTCTTAGCATGAGGCTGGCAAAAAAAAACACAGGGTGGGGGATGAGGAGAGGAATCAGACATTCAAATCACATCTGGGCTCATTAAGATGAGCCACGTGAAGTTACATGGGCAGCTACATAAAATGCAACTCAAAAATGCAGTTGAGATGAAAAAATATTTTTCCAGGCTATCAGAGAGGCAGAAATTTGTTTTCCAGACAGGCTGGCTTGTTTTGGGTTTAACCTGATCTTTTTCTTCAAGTTGTTGACAGAAGCTTTGCTTGACCCTGAGACAAATCAGCTGGCATTAATCAATGCTGCTCTGGTTTTGGTTTGGATGTTGGTAACACTGGGGCACTCTTGGTTGGACAGAATAACTGCCCTCACACCACTGGAAGATCTGAGAGCAGGAGTGTGAGTTTGAAGCCTAAGGAGGGGAGAAGATGGGAAGATACAGCCCTTGGACATGCAGCAATTGTGTCCAGAAAATCAGTTGTCAGTGGCTATATCTGGAATATAGAAAATTAATTTCAGGTCTCCATTGACAGGGCAAGGTCTGGATCTCCTGGGCTCTTCCCTTGCTGTTCCCATCAGCCACCCCTCATCAATCACCTTGGACTCAGGAAACCTCCCTAGCAAAGGTTAATCTGCCACAGAAGTGTTCCTCTAAATGCTTCTGATGAAACAGTAATTGTCAGGGGACAAAGGACAGTATTAACCCTGTTAGAAGACCTGTTCATCATGGTGTCACTGAGAGACCAAGTGCATTGGCATTCAAGTGCTTGAATTGCTTTTGTAAACAGGCTTGAGACTTTGTCACCTTCACACCTCATTCCTGAGGCAAAGAGCACCAATTTCAAATAAAATCCCAGTATTAGTGTTGAAATGATTACAAATATGTTTTCACATGAGAACAAACAATTTGCTTGCCAAATCTGTTACTGGCTTACAACCACACAGACTTCTATTATGTAGCATCCATGCTCCAGTGTAAATACTCAAATCTCTGAGCACAAGTCATCACAGTAAATTAAACACTGCTAAAGTGACCTGCAAAATGGTACATTCCATTAAGCTCCCTCACTGAAATTCACTGCTAACTTCCCATGTCTAATAAGTGATAGATTTTGCAAGGTTTAGCCTTCTTTATTTAGGTGTAAAACATATATACTAAACAGTACCCCCTCAGAATAATGAACTATCCCATCCTTGTTATGATAAAGGTTTACAGGACAGAACATTTCAAGAGAGTGAGCAACATTCAGCAGAAGGTTTCCAACACATAGAAGAAATTTTTTACCACAGAGATGTCAGAATTCCACAGAAACTGCCACCAAATCCTATGAGCTTTCTCTCACAGGACAGTAATACCAAAAAGACACATAAGCAATGGTGTTGGGGCATTTAGATGATGGAAGCAGTTTCCCTAGAAAAATGTTTGCCACTTCAGCCATTTATCTTCCCAGCTAGCACAACTTTGCACTGGGACATGGACATGGAAACCTGCAGTGACCAGCTGGGGCAAAGCAGGGGAGTGCTATCCCAGGGGATCACATCTCCCAGAGCAGTGAGAGAGAACAGGAGCAGGGTGAGACAGGGCTGTGCACTGGCAGAGAGCTCAGAGCCAGTGAAAGCCTGTTCTCCTAACTCATCCCTGAAAGGCCACGGAACAAGAGGGAGTTACCAGCCAGGAATCTGGTCCCTTAGGCATTTGTCACCTTCTCTTTGATTAATTATTTCCCCATAAGCCATCTCTCAGTCACCTCTGACTTGCTCCTGTGCCTGTTTTCATGCACAAGCCCACTGCTGAAATGCTTGCATGGAAAATGAGATGCTTGTTCCAAAATCACTCCTCTAATGTATTTAATTATTTCGTTGATTAGAACCTTGTTAATAGTCCATAATTTTACATTAACCATGAGCAATTTAGAGCCAGATAATGCTCTTCCTGGCAAAACAACTGCTGTGAAGTATAGCTGGACTAGTAAAAGCAGACACCACTGAAGCTGTTAGATAGCATAACCTCTTATTCCATGAAGTACAGGTCTCCCCTGATCTTGCCAGACTTTACCATTTAATTTCCTTCCCCAGTGGCTGCTTCTACTTTACCTTGCACACAGGGATCCAATGGAGAGTGGGAATCAGAGCACAGTTCCCTCCCTGGGATTGCAGTTTTGTAACTAGGCGTTTTTTTGGCCAATATATTGCAGAAAACATTAGGTAACTATTGCATTTTAAAACAACAATTATGGTGAGAAACTAATTTCTACAGCTTTGTTTCCAGAAGGACCCTCTGTGCCTCTCAGCTAATATGAATTTACATGCAAGTGCAGAATAATCCATCAATGAGGTGAGCTAATGTTGAGACAGCTACTTCTAACAGACTGTGCAGACCCACAGAAAAATACCTGTCATCAGAAATAACTGGATACTCTTTTCTCCTAGACTGTTCAGAATCTATGAGTATCTCTGTAGTGACATGAGAAAAGTGACAGCAAAGCAAGCAGGAGAGCCTGTATGTAAATTACCTGCTTGCTTTAATGACAGTAAAAAACAACTGATGCCCCTCTCCCATTTATTAAAACATTTCCACTCTACAACACTTGTGCAAGAAGCAGCTCTGAAATCAACAGCTCAGTGTTAAGGACATCACTCAGTGCTGTGGTTTAATAATCCAGCTGGAATTTTTATGGCTATTTCCAAAGTGTGCACATCATTAAGGCAAATTTTCCCTCAGCAAAGTACACTTTGGATCTACCTGATCTCAAAGGGAATGAATGTTACCCGGGGAAAGACAGAGCTCATCTTTGTTTGCATGAGCTGAGTTCTTGCATGTAGAAACAGCTGCTGCCACCCAAGTAAAAAGACAATAGGCAACTGGGAAATGTATACAGTAACTACTGTAGTCATCACAAACTCATGTGGGTGTCTTTGAATATATCTGGGGGAGAAGGAAGAGGAAAGGAAGGAGGAGATTGTGGTGGGATCACCTGATGAATCAAGGCACGGAGCTGCTGACTGCAGATGTGTATCAGAGCCGTGAAACAACACCTAAGTGATGCAACTTTTGGAGCATGTTTTCTGTGATGCAACTGAACAAAATTGATTAGATTTCTTTAGTTCACTGAGGCTTTCTTTTCAGCCATCATCAGTAATGATGAGGTTAAAAAAAACCAAAACAAGTATAGGTAGAGCTTCATATTCACACATTTTGATAAACTAAAATCCAGAGAGATTGTATTGACTAAATAATGTCCTAAATTACAAGAATTCTCTTGGGTGCCTTGTCATGGAGGCAAAGTATGATCATTTAGGGAATTGTGGTTGTTCAACAACATCAAGAGAATCAAGTTGCTTTCATCAGCTACATCAGCCTGTCTAAATTTCTCTTTGTCACCTCAGCTGGAAAAGCCTGAGCACATGGAGTCCTATGCCATGGATCCCCCTTGGTATAGCTGTTGCCCAGAGATAGCACAAGAGACAGAACTATTTCCAAATTCTCTGCATGAACCCATCCATCTGACTGATAAGAAAAATTCCAGGTTCTGGGTATTTGGTTTGGAAACAGGGAATGAAGATCTCACATTAAATCCAGAAGAAACTGCAGCTCTTCAGCAGCTGTGCAGCCAGAGGATGTGTTGATGGTGCCACTGGTGACAGCCCATCACAGTGTGACAAATGAAACCTGCAATGCTGCCCTGCCACTCTGCACATTAATTGTGTTCTAAACCCCTCTACCGGCAGCTTCAGATTGAGCAAATGCCACATGACCCTGAATGACTTATATAATTCATACAGTAAAATGTCTCTTCATTTCAGAAACCATGTTCATTTGGTAGGTTTTCAAGATCATGTTATAAACTTAGAAGGACAGAGGTCAAACCCAAAACCTCAGATTCAAAAATAGCGGATAAAAGCTGGTCTACTTCTAGAACTGCAATTTAAGTGCCCTTTGTTCAACTTCTGTGCATTTTAATTATGCCTGGGACTCTCCCTTCCAACGCTGGCACTTCTAGAGGTATGAACTCCTAATGCACAGTGACCATGCAGGTTACAACTGCCAATTATATTTCCACTTAAAATTCTGTTATATATAGCAGCAGGGCTCTTGACAGTACAAATTCTCCTCTTCAGGGCTTGGGTATACTTTTTTTCTTGCCATTTCACTGAATGGGTGAGAGTCCTTTGCCTAGAGAAATCCTGCACCTTTAAGACTTGCTTCTTGAAGATCATCCAGTCCCCCTAGACTCTTCTGCCCTTCAGGACCTGCCTCTCAAGGGACTCTGTCAACCAGGTTCCCAAACAGGCCAAACTCTACCCTCTGGAAATCCAGGGCAGCCGTTCTGCTGACCCCCCTCCTTACTTCTCCAAGAATAGAAAACTACTATAATTTTGTGATCACGATGCCCAAGACAGCATGTAACCATCACATCACCCACTAGTCCTTTTCTGTTCACAAACAACAGGTCCAGCATGCCTACCCCACAAACAAAGGCACCCCTAGATCCAGGAGAATCTGAACATGTTCTTGACATCTCTGGTGTGCTGTAACTTGTCTGGTAACCGTCAGTCATTCTAGAGATTTATCCTAAAGGACTTCTTGTTATGGAGGGCAACTCTAACAAATCACAGCTCCGTGAGTGCTTAATGCTATGACTGGCATTGCAAGCCCAAACCTTTATTACAGGAAAGATGAGGCACACTTAAAGCTTCTGATTATCCTCTTTAAATAGCAAACTCTGTGTCTGCTGAAAGATCCAACCACTCATTAGGGATGGGCTGGTCGGCAGACACTGCAGTAGCCAGACAAATGCTCTACCCACTCTGAGTCACACACAGCCCCCAGTGCCACACTGGCAGGTTGAGATACTCCTTGTACATCCAGGGTGGGAAGAGTCAGGCATTGGCTTTAACAATAAAACACATAATTCTGCAATAATTAAGGTACATTCATGCCATAAGGAAGATTTTTTCCCTGCTCTCTTCACCTCTGAGGCAGACACTGGGACTTCTTACCAGTAAGCCATTGGATCCGTGGACTGTGACACAGCGGGAGAAGGTGTTGTGGATGGAGGTGTCCTTCACATAGGTTGGAGGGTTGTAGCCTCCTTTCTCATCCACATCTCCGGCCATATGGAAATGAATTGGGTAATGCCCCATTGTCTGCTGGCCCATGTGTTTCAGTTCCAGACCTTCAATGTGTGTAGCCTTAAAATCAAGACCAATCTGGAGAGCAAAAGAACAGTAGTCAAGAAAAACAAAAATCTGTTGAGGGCAAGGAGGGGGAACACAGGCGTAGGAAGGGCTGCATCATCTCTCCTGAAGGATTTACTGTGTGGAGGGGAGTGTGTGGCTGCAGGGTGAGGGAGAGAGGGCCATGGGGCCTAAGGAGACCAGAGCTGCTCTTTGATTTCCACACTGCTGCCATAGACACATTTAACTTTACTGTAGAAGGAAAGCAATTTATATTTATAATTTTCCATGGTTTTCAGCCAGCTGGGTTCAAATCAAACTTCCTGGGCTAAGCACCACCAAAATCCAGGGGAAACTGGGATTGGGATGCAGAGACTTTATCTCAGGTGCATTGATCACCAGCCTCAGTGTCTGTGGGGGCATTACATGCACTTCAAAGCCAAAGGACAGGCAGCAGCCAGAGGGAGGATCTGCTGTACTGCGGGGAGAGCTTGTTTGCTCAGTGGCTGATGAGGAATTTTTCCCTTCCTTGGCTTCCTTGCTGTGTGAAGGCGTGGCTGGAAGGAGGAAAGGACAAACAAAGGGCTCCAGCCTCACCTTGATGTGTCCCCCAAAGGTGTCGAAATCAAAGAAGGAGCACAGCTTGCTGCTGTACTCGTAGCACTGCTGCTCCATGTCGCCCATCACCACGACGTTGCGGCTCAGCAGCCCCACTTCCGCCCGCATGTCCACGCCGTCGACCACCTCGCCCACGTGCAGGTATGTGGCTTTCCCTAAAGGAACCAGATCCAGTTTCAGGGTTACTCTGCCAACGCTGCTGGCTTCCCGAGGGCTCCCTGTGGTGGGGCTGGTGTGCTAATGAAAGGAGCAACCGAGTCAGCACAAACTGCTGGCTGACACCTCAAAGGAGGGAAGGCTGGAGCACAGGGGACACCCAAGGTCCTGGTGAGATGTTTGCAATGGAGGAAGTGGGATTTTTGGTCTTAGCTTCGTTTATCCAGGGAGTTAAACCAACAGTCTGTTAGATAAAACACATTTCCTACCTTGAAAAGGAGCTGCATACTCTGGGTTACAAGCAGCTCTGTATGAACAACCAAAGCAAAAAAGCCCTGATGATGCAGCTGCTGAAAAGTCTAAATCACCAAGGTTAGCACAGCATTTCCCATAGTAAGACATGGGGAGCTGCTCAGACCCCAGGGCACTACTCTTGGGCAAGCATCAGGCTAACATCATGGCTGTTGATGCAAGCAAGGAGCAGAGTGGGCAGAAAGCCTTGTAAGAATTGTGGCTTGGGACAATCACAGCTCCTCACCGAGTTTGTGGGCTGTAAAACCTCTGACTCCCTGGCCTCCCAAATCTCTACATTTTAGATCTACCCTCACATCTCCAACTTGCTCCCCTAGTGCAGTCAGAGTCAATGGGATCTTCCATCTACCCCACGCCACACCTCTCTTTGCCAAGCCAAGTCGCTCATAACATCTTCCACACACACCCTCCTCCATGGAGGGGTTAAAAGCACAGAAAAACTTTCCTTGGCCTGACCAGAAAGGGGGGAAGTCCAGGCAGTGGGGATGTCTAGAAAGCAAAGTATCTCTTTGTTGTAATTTCATTCAAACATATTCCTACTACCTCCTTCCTTCCGCAGGTTTTTGCAGAGAAAAGTCAGCTGGGAAAAGGTTCACCTTACTGACTCCATTCTGTATTCTTCCAGTAAAAATAAGTAATAAACTCTTTAAGTAAACACTGAACTTTGAGGAATGCTACACTTGCATGTATTTAATTTCCATTGAATCGTTCAAATCCTTAATTAGAAACAAATGGCAAGCCTGAAGCCTGGCTATCGCTGCACAGCACTTCATGCTTAAGCAGAAGTGCCAAGTCAAGGGGAGGATTTTGAACACTGAAACAATATTATTTTTAACCAAAACATGATGCTATGAATGTATAAAAAAGATAAGCAAACACCATTCACTGCCTCTTCTCCTGAAGCTGCAAGCAGTGTAGTTTGATGGGGTTTGGGAAGGTGAGTGCTCCATCCTGCTCTTCCACTGCTGCGTTGTGGGACAGGGTCCACACCACAGCATGTGCCTTCTGCCTGTGCACCTCTGCCTTCAAAACCATCTGATCTTGTGAAAAACACTCTCTGTTAACTAGGGGAGTGGTGATGGCCAAAGAGCTGCATGCTCATCTCAGAAATGAAGGGCTGCAAGGGACCCTGGGTTTGCACCTCACCCACCTTTTCAATTGTCTTCCTAGAAAATCCTGGACTTCCCCATGCCCATGCTGCTGCCCTGCAGGCAGTGAGCCTCATCAGGTGTGTGGCCAACACCAGACTCAACCCATCCAAAAAACAGCAGCTTTGCTTCCTTTATTCATATACATCAAAAAAGCCACTGCAGCAAGTACCCGCCACATGAGAATACCCCATGCTGGAGCCTTGAGTGAGTCTGCAAAGGAGAACAGTTTCTCCTTATTAAACCCTTTTTCAGCTGTTATTTTTCAGTTTTCCCCAGAGCTGACCTCTCCTTGATTTACTGAAATGCAGGAAGGATTTTAGATAATCATAAGAACATACTATTTGAAGCCACATCTCCAGGATTTGTGGCAGTGAAATTAGATAGGCAGTTTTGTTATTCCTGTGCTGAGCTCTAGAATAATAAATGTCATGCTTGCATGTATTTAATTTAATTTAACACCAGTCCAGACATGCAAAACAGGGTAAGCACTGACAGGAATGTTAAATACGGACTAACCAGTTTCTAAATATAACTTATTGGGTGCATGTTTTTCACTCTGTGCTTTTGCTGATTTGACATGTTTGGAGATAAAAGGAGAGACGGAAAGCAATCCCCTTCCAAAGTAAAAGCGGATTTTGAATAATAGCTCCTTTAATAGAGTTTTGAAAAACAAACCACTTCTCAAGGCAGACAGAAATTCAAGCTCCCTGCAGCAACGGGGCTGAAAGAAGCTTTTGGGAGACAGAGGCTGGCATGGGAGCCCTTGTGTGCTGTAAGTGACTGCTGGGAACCAGCACTACAACACCGGGCACTTCCCATGGGACCTGGAGCACTGTGAGGGGCATTTACAGACACGTGGCATTGCCACGGAGCTGCCTGGGGTATCTTTGGTGGTGGGCAGGGAAAAAACCCACAAAAGAGTCTGCCCCGTGGTGAGCTCAGGGAGTTCACACGAGGATGGCAGCGTCTCACTCTGCAGAGCTACAGGTTTAAGTTTGGCTGCTGCTCAGAGCTGGCACATGGAGCCTTCCCAGGGACCAGCCAGGATATCTGAGACCCTGAGCACTGACCATGGGCAAACCCCAGCCAGGGGTTTGCAAATGGGCACTGAAGTGGTTTGGTATTAAAAAGGCAACCCTGTGCTTTGAAAGTGGGAGGGATGTGTTGCTGCTCCAACATCCAAGGCAGTGCTGTGATTTCCCAACCACTAACAAGCCCTGAGGCCACTGATTCACCTTCTCCTCCCTTGGGTGAGGGTTTGCTGCATCCCTCATGGACAGACACTGCCCTGCCAGCCTTGTGCCATATTGTAATCTAAACCAAACACGGCCTTGCAGTGACACAGATCGCATCTCCCCACAACAGACCCGCAGGAAAAGCTCCCTGGCTTGGCTGCTGCATGTGTCATAGCAGTGCCTCCCGTTAGCACAACGTAAATTCACAGGGAAAACTTCCTTAGTATGTGGGCTTGCCTGGTGGAAGTCTTGATTCAGCAAAATACGAGCACATTCCTGTGCTTATTACTCAAGGCAGCGACTATTGAAGTCAGTTGTTGGTAAGGATAAGGTAATGATTAAAAGGAAATATACATTAAAATAAACACAGATGATCCACCCAACAAGGGCATGCTTATGTCAACAAAGCAATTCAAAGCAAACGGTACAAAGGAGAACCTGCCACATGTGAACCCAGCCATAAAACCTGGGTCTTGGGCCTTATCAAACCTGGGAAGGGTGGGATTTTAAAACTATTTCTACTGCTGCAAATGTGGAAGAGTGCTCAGATCTGGTGAATTACATCTCTCAGAAAACACTCCCAGGTACACTCATACATTCCTAAATCCCTTGGCTCTAAATGGCCCAAACTGCTAAATCTCCCTTTGAGAAGTGAAACCAGCACTTGAAGGTCTGGAGTCTGGATTTGGTGAAGATAAAGAAAAGCTGAGATTCTCCTGGAGCATTTTTTTTTTTCTCTAAAGTGTCTTTTCTTCTCCTTTGGGTTCTCAAGGGATAAGACCCAGTACCTCATGGTCTTTTGATGTTTCCTCATCAAGTTTTTAAGGCAAATGCTAAACACAATTCTGTTCAACCCACATGATCCAGTGACAGTGAATCCTTCATGGCATCTTTAAAGTCAGTTCAGCTCATTGCAGATGCCAGCCCAGATCTGACAGATTTATCATTTTTTCCAAGCACTTGTCATCACTGGTGGTAATGCCCCTTTTGCTTATATTTAATAACAAACAAATGTTCACACTGGCATCTTTCAAATCCTCATTATTCTGAGTTATCTTGCTGGGGTTTGCTGTTGCATCCCTAAGCCACAGGCCTGTAACTCAGCATGGTTTGGGTGAGCTGGCTGGCTCCTTGAGTCACACAGCACAACCTGATGTCCTAATCAACAAATATTCCTCCAATTCACAACTTTTACATGGAAAATTAAGTTTTCAGCAAATAGACATAACAGCAATCAGGCACAAACTCTACCCTCATGAAGTTCCATGTAAACCTGAATGAGATTCTGTCAGCTCAGCTCCCAGGCACTGCCCCAAGGTAGAAGGAGCTCTGAAAGACTGTTAGAAATGACCATTTCAAAAGATTCCCTGCCCTGCCCTCAAGCACCAGGGTTGCCTTAAAAAAAAGAGCTTTTGTCAAGTTCCAGCCAAAATGATGCCAACTTCTAAACAGAACACCCTAAATCTCTAAAAATATCTGAATTTTGATAGTGGAGTAAATTCTCCCATTCTTACAGCACCAGATGAATGCTGACATAGGCTGAATTTGTGAGACAACTACATATTTATACTTTTAATTCAAAGTTCTCTGCATGAACAAGATCACAGTTAACTCCTTAACTCTCTAATATTTGCAACCCAATAAGCAGGATTTAAGAGATGTGTGCTTGAATTCATAGGTTCACCAGTATGTGGGATAATTGGAGCAATTATGCCAGGCACAAATAGTTTTTTCATCCTTTATCAAGAGCATATAGGAGCACAAAAGAGCACTTCATCATTTCTGTTCCATGGTGAAACTTATCAGCATTTGTAGAAACTTCATACAGAGCAACCAAGATGAAGATAAGACTTGTTTCCCAGAGAAACTAGACAAAATACTAGATATTTCCTACTATCCAGTTCTATCATAACAACACAACCCTTCCTTCCTTCCTCCCTCCCTCCCTTTGCCCTGCACTGCTGTCCCTCCCCAAACCTTGTGAAGTTGGAAGATCAAACAGTTTTAGTCTGTTCCCACAGTGAAAATAATCCAGGCACAAAAAATTACAAGTAAAAAAAAAAAAAAAGAGTTAAACAAAGAAAGCAAGAGGAGGGGAAAGCTCCCTTTAAGTGAGTGACCATTTGACTGGGAGCAGGACCTGCAGATCTGGGTCCTCATGCAAACCACACTCACCCATGAGAGACACAGTTTGTACATTAGGGCAGTTACTCCAGTAAAAAGTGCAAAAGATCAGAGCCTGTGTGCCCTCCCTCACTTTCTACACTGAGATTTGCAGATGTCCATAGTGAAATAACTAAATCCTCCTAGCACCTGATGGCAATTGAGTATTAACTGCCTTCAGTTCTTTTGAAAAGCTCTAATCAATCCATTTCTAGCCAGGAAAGAAAGTATGAGTTTCAGCAGGAAGTATCAAATATAAATAGGACATGAGCTAACTAATGAGTTTGACTTTTTTGGCACAATATGCTAAACCATGTCTATTAAAATACTATTAAATTATGAGAGCATAAATTACATTAAACCTTGGTATGCCAAGTGGCTGCCACACCAAACTGGCTGTCCACAAAGCAGAGGTTTTCTGCCTTTTTTATAACAAAGAGACTCTTAAGTAGTTCAGATCTGACATTTAGGTTTCAATTTAAAAATAAATAGAAAGAAAAAAAATAAAGATTAAAAAGGAAATAAATCATCATGGGGAGGAATAGTTTTATCATTTGTCTTTCAAAGGGCAAACTTTTGGAGTTCTCAGCTGCTAAACTAAACCTCTTAGGAAAATTAAGCCTTTTCACTTATTACAAATGACATCCCTCTGAGATCCTGTGTATAAATGTATGTGTGGAAGGCCTTTCTCAGAAGGAGCAAAGCAATCTTGCCTACCTCCATAGCAAAAGAGAGGCAGATATTTATGATGCATGTGCTTCTACACCCAATTACAAACCTGGCCAGGCACACAAGGCCAGGCTGTGCCAGGTCTGCTCACCTGTGTTGAGTCCAGGGGCCATTAGTGATCCTTATTCTGGCTAATTATCCATCATGGCTCAGGACAGTGGCTGAAGTTACACCATGGCCAGGCAGAGAGCAGCTCAGAGACCTCCTGGCCCCTAAAGGCAGGGGACATCTCAGCCTTGCCAGCTTTTATTTCATCTAGACTGAACTTAGACTCAGGCAGATTATTTTGTTTTCTAGTGAGAATGTGTTTTTGTTACAAGTTGGAAGTGATTTTTATAATTGCACTAAATTTTTCCTTGATTTATAAATCAGTGAAATCCCATTGACGTCAATAGAGTTGCCTGGATATAAGAGAGGAGAGACTTTGGCCCTGGTGTTCATGTCATTTGTGGTAATAAAAGGAATGTCCTAATTCTCCTAAAGAGAAACTGGAGACCAAGAGCACAATTGCTTTAACAAGTGTTTCCACTGCTTTTTTACTTGAAATTCACATGAACTTTTTTGTTGTTTTTAATCCATTATTTGTTTCCTTAAACTAACCTAGCTGCCACTGTTGCAGAAGATGAATGCAACTACATGAATTCCACAGATCCATCAGATTATGGGAAGCCCAAGACTCCTACACCATCTTTATTTTTACTGGCAATCTTCCAAGACCATCTTCATGATGTGACTTGTATCATACCAGTCTGAGTCCAACAGCTCAAAAGTTGCTCAAGAAAAATATTCAGCTTGGAAATGCATCTTCTTTGAAAGCACTAGACATTTGAAGTCATAAGGTTATGATACATTCAGACTGTGAATAACATTTTTCTTGGCCTAATGCACATCTCCAACAATGGATGGCCAAAGCTGTGTGGGGAGGCAGCTGCCAAAGGAAGTTATTGGTACCTTCCAGAAGAAGTTGCACCAGAGATAATGTTGAAGTCGTTCATTTCAGAGAACCAAGTGAACTCCCTGGTGCATGGGATGTTCCAAGTGCCCTCATGGTTTCTCAGAAAGGTCTTACTGTAAGTGCAGACAAGACCTCTGCCTAGGGCAACAGCCAGCATGCAAGCAAAGATAAATTATGATGCATGATTTACGACCAGGCAGATGCTGCCTCTGAAAGACAACCTCATCTACTACAGACTTTTACACTGCAAAATAATGTTTGCTTTTGTAAATTATAGAAGCAAAGTAATCCTCATCTATTCAGATAAGGGGCAGTTCATGTGCTTTTTCCATGGTCTGCTTATCAGTGTGCCAAAACAAGGTTCTAGAAGGGAAAGACAACTTCACAGACTCAAGTGAAGATTAAATCTCCCACTCTGGATTTCAGTTTTATGCTCATCCTGGTAATAGTCTGTGCTTCATCATAGTTATGCCTCTTAATTGGATTCTGTGTCCAGAGGCCATTCTACAATCACTGGGCTACAAAATCTATTAATCAAAAGCAATTTGTTTTGCACTTGAGCTGGTCACCTACAAGAGAGAAATGCTGGGGCTCTACAAAGGGTCCCACTCCTCCTTCTCAAGCTGGCTCTGGCAGCACCCTGCCACTCCATCTCCCCAGTGCAGAGGCTCAGGACAACTCACTGGCTGCCAGAAATGTTTGGCATCACCTCTAAGCAATACTCTCTGGAGACACAGTAAACGGGAAACAGTAGCTTCACTAGCAGAAATACAAAACAGTATTTCTAAAATGTAAGATTACAGTTCTTGTTAAATAGAACTTAGGAAAGCAGCCAGCTGGAAATTACTTCATAGCCTTACAGTGTCTCACAGTCTGCTCTTGCCCTAGTTCCCTCTTCCCATCAGCTGTGCTCTTCTGCTTTCCAGGTATTTCAAATGAAGTTATTATGAAGTGGTATTTCAAATGCAGTTACTGCAAATCTCAGATACATAACCTGTATCTGTTCCTCTTAAGTAAATTCACCCACTCAATAGCATGCCTGGGGACAAAAAATGGATCAGCTATGAAAAGAGAAGGCAGAAAGGAACCAAAATCAAGTCAGATTGTTTTCAAGGATGAAAGCTATATATCCCAAAAGCATCTAACAACCAGCCATCAAATTCAGGCGTCTTTCAACATTTTTCAGTTCTTCTTGGAGTCACCTCAGTGCAAATGACTGGTGAACTGCAATGCCAGAGTGATAAGGTGAAGCACCTCACCTGCTACCTTGACCTGGGTGGGTCTGCAGGTTCTGCAGGGCAGCACTTGGAACTCCTCTGCCTGGTACATGGAGTAGTCAGTGCTCGCCACCACCAGCCTGTCCCCAGGTCTCCATGAGCTCACATCATCCGCCAGATTCAGGATCGTGCTGTTCACGTTGGTGTCAATGGTTACCGTGAGCTTCGGCTTCACTGAAAACCCAAAATGAAGGGTGGGCAATTCAATCAATCCCATCAGAAAAAGCTTGCTCCTTCTTTTTTTTTCCCCCCCACCCCTCCTTGGTGTGCACCAAAAATTATTATTTTCTCATGCTAAAAAGAAAAAAAAAAAAGTTAACTCCTTCAAACATGTTTTTTTACTGGCTTTGGCTTGGCGAGCAAGAAAACAGGAAAGTATTTGTCTTTAGTTGCAGGCAGGTAGATTTTCCACTAACCTCAGGATAAATTTAAATGTAGCTCTTAGTGGCTCATTCTCACCACACCCACTTAGCAGCAGCTCTTGTGGGCACTGGGTGCTGTTGTTTACAGCAGCCAAGTGGTCTTTAACCTAATCATGGTTTTTTCCAGCAAAACAACAGTGTGCCACCCTTCTTTTCCTGCCAGCTCCAAAAATCCTAATGACCTGTCTAATGACCAAGGTAAGGACAGCGGTGTTGGAATGATTAACTACAAAATGACAGTTTCAAACCCTGTTGTCTTCACACGTTCTGATTGACTAATCCTACGTCATCCCAAAATGTTTTTGCAAAAGACAAGGAATTTACATGAAAGAACTTGCCAAATATTTCTCACAGCTTTGCTGGGTATTTGAAAAACCGCCCCGCTGCTTTTGTTAGTCTGTTATATAAAAATTCTCAGGAATTTTTCCTGAGATAAATCTTTGGCCATTCTATCTGAGTTTGTGTCCATAGCCCAGCACAAACCTTCAGCTTGGAAAAATTACAGAAGTTTTTGTGACACCAAGAAGGAACCAGTCATGGGAGGACAGGATTTCTGCTGTTCTCAGTTCTGGCTTTCAGCGAGGGTGCACATACCAGATTTGCCACACAAGAACCTGACTCTGTAGTTGTGGCAGCCCTGGCCGGTCTGGTCCTTGCCGTGGCACAGGAATTGGTAATCGTGGCCGCTCTTGTAGAAAACCTCCGCGGTTAAATCCGCTCCGTCAAGCGTCATCGCCTGCAACGAGGATGGAAATACAACTCAGGGGCTGCTGTGAGGTGAAGGGATTTCACCAAAACATCTGAGCCATCAGAAGAGGCCTTTGCTTTGTTTTGGGTGACAGCACAAGCACTGCCTAGCAAACCCCCGTGCCTGGGCTCTCCAGCCAGTTTCCAGCTGCTGCTCACACACAGCCACTGCTGAGGTGCACGCCTTTTCCTGTGTCTATATGAGACCAGGGGCTGCTTTGGGAGGAGTCTGTGAGCTTCACAAACAGCTGCCTCAGTGCCCTAGATTTTCTCTTGCCACTGGTTTGAGGGCAGATGGAAACGTTGAGCGCAGATGCTTGCACCCAGATGAACTCATGGCTTCAAGCCTCTGCACTGCGCTCATTCCATTGCTGGTGGCTAGGCTCTGTCTGAACCTTGCAGAAGAAAGGGGCTAGGGGTTTTATTTCTCCATTGCATCGATCAGTCTCTCAAAAAAAACCCCAAGGGTGCTGCAACACTGCTGCCTGTTCCAAAAGAAACAAGGAGAAAGTGGCCTTTTCTCACAGGCAAGTACCAGCCTGTGAGAAAAGAGCTGCCTTGAGAAAAAAGGCTGTATCATGCCAAGAAGCAGTGAGATATGAAACCTCTCTGCTGTTCCTGCTGGGGCAACGTCTCAGGGTCATGTCAAATTTCACATTCTGTCTCCAGAGCTTGCATTTCTCTCGACCCTTTCACAAAAATGTGGCGCATTGCATGGGGCAATCCAAATACCACGTGCATTTTGGCAAGGCACCAGGAGAAAAGCCATCTTTCAATGAAGGGTCTGATCCTGATTGTCTCACTCATGCAGGCTTTCCTTATTAATGAATCCACCCTGCTGCTGTGTGTGGGATTAGCACCGTCAGCTGGAGGAATGTGCCTCTGGCTGTGCTGTTCTGCTGTTATTATCATCATATCTTCAATTTTCTCCCATGTTCCAGAGCTGGGGCAGGCCAGCTGCTATAAATCAGTGCAGCTTTATAAAAGCAATGAGCAGTACCAGATTACACTACCTAAGGATTTGCCCTAAGATCTGCAGGATAAACTGCATGGGGGTTCACTTTTAATATACATGGGGGAAAAAAACCAAACAAACAAAACAACTTATTTCACAGAAGAAGGGAAAAAATAAGGTTTTTTTCTAGAGCAGAAGAATATCTTCTTTCTGTTTTAACATGCATTCTAGAAGTGGATGTATTGTAAGGAACATCTGACCCCTGTTCTGAACTAAGCTGTCACTTCTAATACACATATATGGAAGCAGAAATGAATGTGGATTTGGTAAAACCTGGCAGAAAATTATAGGGCAGTTTTTTCCTTTCTGTTCAAGAGACATCCTTTATAACATCTAGCCCTGGAAACTTTCACTCATACAGTCAGCATTCCCATTTACTTCAATAGCCACATTCTTGTGAATGAGAGCAACTCCACTGGCTCAGAGCACACAGGAGCCTCAGGCTCAGCCTCACACAGATGTGAAGGATTTTATTGTCTTTTTCTAGGCAATGCTTCTGCTATAGGTAGGCATAAAAAGTATATGGTGAACATATTAAAAAAAATACCCTCATTTCTTGCTAGGCTTTTTTGTCCTTAAAGAGGTTTTTTGCAGGGTCAGAAAAGGTATCAGTGGTCCTCAGCATGCTGGCCTGATGGTATAATTATAATGCTTAGCTCCAAACAGAATTCAAATTTCTTTCCACAGAGATGAAACAATTGGTTCCAAGAAATGGCTGAAAGCTCACCAATATTTTTGACAACCTGCTACAGCTGGTAGTTGCACTGTCTTGTTGCATTTTGTGATTAATTTTTTAGGTAGGGTCCATTCCAGAACCATTTAAAACCTTTGAAATTTTCATGTGGTTGCTCCTTTTAATCTTCCAGCAGGGAATCACATATTTCATGAGAGCATCTGTGCTGTCCATGACCCATCTGTGCACCTTTTCATGCCAGGAGCTGGAATTTACTGAAAGCAACTCAATTCTATCAAATTTGTCCCAGAACAATACGAGACTGTATACAAGATCTTGTTGGTTATGTATTAGAGTGGTAAAATAATTGGTGTATTTTATTTAGAAGCAAAAATTACTGACAAGCACAATTATTTTGGGGGTTCAGTGCCAGTCCAAAGAAGACTAGCCCCTCTAAAGTGAGTGGTAAGCCTGCCTACCTGGATGTCAATGGGCTGCCTGCAGACTTTGTCAGGATGAGCAGCTTTGAAGTCAGACAGCTTCTCCATGTCCTTAGATCTCGCTTTGTCAGGCTTCTCAAACCACTCTGTCCATTCTACATCTGGAGACAAGTGCAAACAAGTATTGTCATTTGAAAGTCAAGCTTAATGAGTGCAGGAAAAATGCACGAAGCATAATATGATCTCGGATATCATTCACAATTTCTTCACTGATGATCTGATTCATGCCTCTTCCTGCCAGCCTGTCAGCCACTTTTAATGATGCTGTGAAGTGCAACCAGCCAGGGGAGAGCAGAGTTATTAAAGGCTTCATAATTGGCATGTGCACTGTAAGCATTATTAATAGATACAGATAGATAAGCATTATTAATAGATACAGATTTTGGATCTGTGTCTGCCTTAGCTGCCTTCTCTGATCTTCAGATCAAGTTGCACCAGCTACTGTGTGTTGTCTGAAACATGGACATGATGACTGTGCAGTGAAAAGAAGAGGTTGTGTGTGATCTCTGAGACTATAGGAGATGGAATTTCATACCCAGTGCAGAAAAGGAAAAAGGATCCCAGTTATTCAGAGGGTCCTAGAGACAACTGGGGAAAGAATCTGTGAGTGTTCATTAATTGGTTTAGTGATGGCATAAATAGCAGCTAGCAAGTCCACTCTTCCCAAATGGAAAAGGATTGCAGGAAAAAGGATGATTCACCCTATTTGTCAGCTGTCTAGCACTGAGTGAAAAAGCCCACAGACCTCTCACCTTGAACCCACTCGCTCGTTGAAGAGACGTTAAAATGTTCTCCATTCTCAGCTTTGAATAGTTTGAATACTTTGGCCACAGCTGAGCCTTTGTGACCTGTTAAAAAACCCAAAACATTGGTAAAATCATTGAAATCAGTTGGAAAAATCATTGAATGCAGTTGATAAGAGTAAGAACTGAAAATAATTGTCTCTGTGCATATTTGTATACTTTGACTACATTATTCAAAATTAGTCCTGCACAACTTCCAGAAAAATTTACTAATCTTGCAATGAGGCTTCAAGATACTTTTGCAACTGCATGGATAATGAAGAAGAAAAACTTTCAAAAATCAAGAGAGGATAAAGCCCAGAATTATTTGTCATATGTTGTTATTTTTATTTAATGTTGTAGCAAGCTGTGTTATTCATGTCATGAGAAGACAGAGACTCAGCAGTGTTCAGCTTGCAAGAAAATGGTTTCACAGGAGGACTTGAGGCTACTAATTCAGGATACACTGATTAAATTTTCAGCTGGTGTGAACTGGGTCTGTTCAACAGATTTGTGTCTTAAGAGAGGCAGTGACTGAGCTCAGTGAAGTTCCATGGACTTACACTGGTGCAGGATTTCACTTTTTATCTGAAGGTTTGGATAACCTAAGCTATGTCTCACTCATCTGCTCCAGATGCATTAGTGGGAAGAAGCAATATATAAAGAGAACATTCAATTAAATGTGTCAAACCACCAATGCTCATGGCTTCGATGTAATGCAGTGGGAAGCAAAAACACCATTGGCCAGATTAATCTGTTATAACTCCAGTAACTCCCAGACATCACGTCAAGACAGCATTTTGTGCATTAAATACCTTGATATTCAATGTGGTCTTCAACAGAAGAGGAGGGATTTCCTTTAATGGTAATAAAACTCCATGGGTGCCTGGAAAATGAAAATGAGAAATGATCAAGTAATGTCAAGTATGAGATGCATATTTCTTATAGCCCAATGTTCCTAAATTTCTCAGAGGCACCACATCCAAAACAGTCTCATTAGTGTCAGAGGCAGTGTAGTTAAAATTAATATTATTTTAACACTCTATAATTCTTCAGTAAATATATCAGAAGAGAAGCAAATTTGAAGACAATACCTACTTAAAACATGCCTGTAACAAGTGTGTTTGTTTTTTAAATGAGTGTTTAAAGAAACTTGTGTATGACAGACCCAAGAGACACTGGCAACTCCTTGGGGAGCCTGAAAATAAATCCTCTGTGTGTGTGTACATGTGTATACACTGAAGAATATGAAAAGAAGCCACTTCTACTTAAATAAATTTAGCTCATGCTGAAACCTTGTATATGACAATTGTCTTTGGAATGACCCATGAGAATTTCTAATAGACAGACTGGCTGGCAAAGGACAGTAAAAACTGCTTAGTCTCTGCATATCTAGTTTCCTTCTTTGAACATTGAACACAGATAAAGGTTCACAGCTCTGAATTTTCTATTCAAATCTGATCCCATGTCAGAATTCAGTTCATTATCATCTGATGGTTTTTGATCAAGTGGGTTCAATAGCTATCAGCCACGCTGGAGGATGAGAAAGCAATGGAGAAGTGCCTCCCAACCTTGGGGGTGAACCCAGTTAGGAGGGGTCAGGGAAGGTTTTTATCTTCAAAGTAGGAGTAGTTCAGGCATATCTGCTCTTAATGAGTAAGAGGATAAAAAATATGCTTTTAGGGTGCCGGAAGACTGTCCTGAATTACCAAAAACTCCCATGGATTAGGTCATGTCTCTATAGTTATAAATATCTGGTCATTTCACTTGCATCAAAAGTCTTGCAGGTCACCTTTCATTGGTGCAAGTGAAGTTCCAAACCACTCTGGTTTGGAACTCTGGAATAAAACACGTACAGCCATTGACAGAGAGCCACTGAAACACGCCCAGATCACGAGCTGGGGTTCGCTGGGTGTGCAGCTCTGGGGGCAGCCGGGGCAGGCTCAGGGTGAGCGCTGGTGCAGCCCATGCCATGCCATGGCCCCAGGGGACACGGCTGCTCAAGGGGACACTGTCCCAGTGTGTCCTCAGCCCCAGCCCTGGCCAGGCTCGGTGGGAGCTGCCAGCACCACTGCCTCGGGAGCCTGCCAGCGAGCCAGATGCTCCTGCTGGAAAATTTGCCTTCGTGCCAATTGCCGAAGGCACTGACGGGCTGTGATCTCCATCCAGGGAGAGAAGGGGGATGGGAGCAGGAAGGACACTTTATCACTCAGCAGTCAGGATAGATTTTTTTTGGTTTTGTTATTATTATTATTATTTTGGTAAACCAAATTTGAAACTAATGACAAAAAATTATGATGCCTCAAAAATAATCTCGAAAAAAATTTAAAGGATAAGGAGTTATTCTGCAGCTCAAGGTTTGGCCCCATTTCATGTGTTAAAATACTTGTTTCTCCCAGTTATTTTACCACTAAAAATAGTTTTAAAGTCGTTCAACCCTGACACATAAGGACACATGCAATCTGTTTGGGCTGTATGAAATGAAGCGACCAGGAAGTCCAGAGCCAAGCAGGAGATATTTGTGTGGAATTCCAAAGAGAATAACTATGTCATCAAGTGCAAAAAGGCTTTCTCTTAATTTATTAGTAAAAGGGGGAAAAAATGGCTCACACTGAAAGAGTAAACACACTTTTCAGAAGGAAAACAATAGGAGAGGAGTGCAAGATTTTCCTTTCATTCCTAATGTTCTGGACTCAGCAAATAGGCAATTAAAAGAGATTCCAGGAGCACAGAAACATTTCTGAATAAATCAGCCTTGTACATCGGATCTGCTACAGCAAGGGGGAGTTGCACAACTTCACAATCTGTTTGAATACTGAGCAAGTGGAGATGGACAGGAATTTGCCCATTAACCCCCACCAACACCCCCTCCAGAAACCAACAAAATCTACAACTGAATTACATTATTCTTCTCTCAGGGATGACCAAGGCCAGCCCCAGCCATCGTCAGGAGCTGAGATTTGACAGCCTGGATTCAGCAGGACCAGCCAGCAAACCCCAGTGCTGGGCAGTGAGTGGTGACAGGCATGTTAGCAAGAAAAACCCATCTCTTCTCCTCAGTCAGAGCCTGCCATGGCCACAGAGGGTAAAATGTGGACACACGTGTATAATTTTCTCATTCCGAACAATTTTTTCTGAGATAGTAAAAAAAAATTTCCAAAAGTACCTGTCCAGTGCATACATCCTTATTCATAGTTATAGATGTATCTGAAATGTAAACCACTATGTCTAAATCTTGTTACACTGAAGTGGAAGTTCAATTTGCTTTAGAGGAAAAGCTTGAATAAACCTAAGGCTGCCTGTGTTCCACTGTGCCATCAAACTGCCTTTCTAAGTCTGGCCCCAGCTGCCATCCAGACAATGTGGTTTTTGAGAACTGATGAACTTAAGCTCTGAGAACACTCCTATAAATATGTTCTTTTAAATAATGCACCAGATATTTTTCCACGCACCAGTATGCTGGTGGAAAACAGTGTTGACCAATTACTCCCTCATTATTTATCCACATGTCTCTATAATTCATGGAATGCAGTTTTGTGGCATTTCAGATAACAGCATGGCAAGGATTAGCCTTTTGACCACAAACAATAGCAACACTGAAAGTCACACTTCCATGGATGAATTTCTGTGTTATTCCCATTGTAAACAATGATGGCAAAATGATGAGAAGCTTGCTTTAAAACACCACAGCAGCCTAAAAAAAACAAGTGTGATTTACTTTTATAAACATATGTAAAAACCATCAATTCCTCCCTGTAGCATCATTGGGGAAAAAAAGCATAATGTTCAAAAACCACATTCTGTTTCCCTAATTCCAGCATTTGAAAAAACACCCAGCAGGCTACTGGGCTCTAATGGGGGCTCTAGATTTGAGAGCAAGAATTGCACTGATGGAGATAGCCTGGTTTTGGAGACCATTTCTGCCCTCCTTGGTGATTCTTTGAAATGTGCTGTCTGGTGCCCAGGAGCCCCTGTAACTTTTGACACAGCCTCTTCATCAGCCATCCCAGATCTTGCTCCATCTGTGTGTGCCCAGCTGACAGATGTCTCTTTCCACAAACTACTGTATTGAAACACTTCTCCCTACAAGGCAGATTTTGTGTGTGTGTGTGTGTGTTCTGCAGACACCCTCTTAGTTCCTCATAAAAAAAGCCTACATAAATTCAGATAAACACAAAAAATATAATGGCTACAGTTGGGTAAATAGCAAGTATTCTCAACAGTCTGTGTGCCAACACAGACACTGTTTTGGCCACAGAAGTATTTACAGTCCACATCATAAATCCGTGTTTGCTAAATTTCTGTGCTGCACAAGTCCCCAGACCTGTACTGGACAAGCTGAGCAATGTGCTGTATGTGTGTCTGTATGTATGTAGCCAGGGCTACACAGCAATTATTGTACCCTCCTTAATGCTCAGCCCATCTAATCCTCTGTGTGTGTGTAAATATGCTTCTTAAATCTTTGGGGGATGGCTTGAAAATAAATTGGAATAAGCAACCTGTGGGAACAATATCTTGGAAAACCATCTTTTTTAATGTGAATCATATGCTATTCCTCAATCTGCTAATAAAAATACCCAATATAGACTCTGAGTGCATCTAAAACTATCTAATTAACTGCTAAAACTGCACATTGAGAAGTTTCCCTCTTCTTTTTACTTTTTTTTTCCCATGTGAAAGAACTTTGTGACTTTGAAAGAGTGGAACTATTTGGACATCTCAGGAACATAATAAAGCCTCTGTGCTGGGAGAACTGGCAGGACTGGCACATACCTAAACCCAAGGTGGAGGAAATGCTTGCTGCCCAGTTTGGTCATTGCTTTCCTGGCCAAGTCATCCAAGTTTCTGGATCCTTCATCATTCACTGCGACCGACAGGATCATGCCATTTGCAACTCTGCCCAAGTACTGAGCCAGGCGGACACTTTCCTCTTTTGCTCTGTAGGTATCGAACCTGAAATGATCAAAAACACCCATAAGCATTTACTGCAGCATTCACCACACCTTTATGTACTGAAAAGCAAGTGCTATAAAGAAAGTACTCTTTTGTATTGCTCACTGTAACATTACCCTGCTGCAAAAGCTCTTGTCTAGCAGGGTGTGTTAGAGGGCTCTGTTAAACCAAACTGATTAAACTCTAATTGAAAAACTGCAAGGTATAACACAGCTCACACTCTGGTTTTGGAGATGGCTGGTCTAGGAGGAATTGTACATTCATGCAATTACACCCATTTGAACAAGATGCTGAAATGTGTGTGTTTGAGCTTGCTGAGATGCTGTCCCCAACCTGCTCCTCAGGATCCTCACATCCAGGCAGACAAAAGGTCACTCACCGGTCTGAGTGGACAACTGCCCCTGTCTTTGGGTCAATGACATGGACAATGACACCCCGGTGGCCCCAGCTCCTCTCGAAGTAATATCCACCTTCTTCCATGCCACCAGGATGGAGAGTCTTGTTTAAGAAAGTCCAGGACAGCTTTTTCTTTCCATGGATCTCAAGAGTGCCACCTTTGCTGACTCCAAGGTACTTCCGTCCAAAGTAAGGGTTTGGCTGGCTGCCGTCATCCGCTCTAAAGCAGGAAGGGAGGAAAAGGGACCAGGTTTGGGTTTGTATCTGAGTCAGGGAACCTCTCTCCTTGTGCTGCCATGACCCACGGAGAGAAGTCCCATGGTGTGCTGTGCATTTCTTTCAGGTATTCCAAGAATCAGGAGCTACCCACATTGTACAGAAAAAAAATTATCTTAAAAAATAGTGGCAGCTACCAAAGACCAAAAGCACTCTGGAACATAGCTTATACATGCTACATTTGTTATATCCAGGCCAGAGAAAGCCTGGAGCCCAGACTGAATGGCACATCTGTGTTTTTGAATTCTGGAGGCAGGCAAGACCCTAACCAGGAGCTAAGAGGTCCAGTGGTTATTAAATATTAATTTAGCCTCCTTGAAATTTTAAGAGATCCTGTACCAATCTGCAAGACAAGCATACTATCCTTCAGCTCACAGCTCCCATACAGAAAGAAAGGATGTTTAGAGAAGAGAACTTTCAGACAAAAATAACTCCTCAGGTTTTAAGCCTATTCTGGAAAATCAGTTTAAGTTGTAGGAAGGTGCATGCTGATTCTCTAGCATGCCCAAACCCCCAGTGTTCTTATCCCAGTAAAAGAGAAAAAATCCCAAACTTGCATCAATTTTTGTGGGCCATTTAAATTGTTTAAAAAGTTACTGAACTTTCCACAGAGCACTGATGGTAAGTGTACCTGAGAACATGTAATTTTAAGGAACGTTTTCATTCCCTGATGTGGAAGAGAGATGCCAGAAGGTTCTAAGGCAGTATTTTATCATGCTTACGTACCGCCCATATAAGATGATAACCACATTGCCTTGGTAAGGGCACAGCTCACTGCCAATGTGTAGCTCTCCATCATTTTCAATGAGTATGTGTCTTGTACGCAGGATGATGGGCTGCACATCGTCCTTGATGACCAGTTTTCCTAAGCAGAGAAGGTTATGCTTTATTACCCAGCAGCTCATGTGAGGTTGCGGTATCATTGTGCTAAACACAATGCTGGGCTGTCATCTCAGTTTTTGAAAAATTCTGTTCATACACCCCAAAACAGCTCTCAATACCAATCCTGAAAACATTGGTTTTTATTTAGTCCAGTTCTTGACAAGTGCAAATAAGATTAACATGGAAAACCCATTCAAAACTGAGACAGAAATTTAGAATTAAGATGAATGAAAGCTATTTATGCCAGCAACACTATGGCTCTGTCCTTGGAGGCAAAGAGGGACATGAGCATCTGCCCTGTCCTGAGGCCCTGATAACACAACTACTGCAGTATGATGCTATCAGGCCAATGGTTTGGTAAAAATAATGTTTTTGAAGCAAATCGCAGAAGTAGAACTAGTCATTACACTGAGCTACTTGTGTAAATTCTCCAGACAGGACAGAAATGAGGCTGGTAACAATGGCCAAAGAATCCCAGCACCTCAGCTGTCACCCAGCCCCGTACTGAGGTAAAGTTGTGTTTGCCCAGTCGCCACCCACTCCTCAGCAAGAAGCAAGAAGCTCTCCCAGCATGATCCACAGGGATTTAAACAGTCCCAGTGACCATCAGAGTGCAGCCAGCCTTGCCAGCAGCAGGTTTTACCTCTGTCAGTGATGTGGATGGAGTGAACAGTGGCAGAAGAAGAGAGCAGCAGCTTCCTGCCACTGCGGATTTCAACGCGGTTTTCTTCGTTGTGACCCGGGTTCCAGATTTCTAACTCAGGCTCTCTGTCAGGACATGTGACAGCTGCTTCTGCTGGGCAAAGATGGAGAGTGAGGACAATCAGTGTTTGTTTGGAGCGAGACAGGAAGCTCTGCACCTGGGCATCTTTACAGTATCGTTCAGCATCAGCCTCTTGGCTGACTCCCTGGAACACAGCAATGCCTCAGTGCAGCAGGGTACATGTGGGTCACGACCAAAAGAAAACAAACAACAGCTTAAGCTGTATGCTTTTCTGTTTTCTGGAAGAATGGAAAAACCCAATGCAAAGGAGCCTTGCAGGGGATGCAGTTTCTAGAAAACTACTGAAAAGGGACTTTCACTGAGCCCTTCCTGCAGTGACATTTAGCTCTGTTCATGCCATCTAGACACAAAGCCCTGGGAATGTGTTCAAAAAAGGATAAAACTACTACTACCTTTAAAAATGTCCCCAAAAACCTGCTTTGTTTAATATAAAGATGTTAAAATATGTTTTCACTGCAAATTTTCACTGGAGATAGAAAGAAAAAGAGATCAAACTAACATGGAAACACAAGCAATTACCAGTACAGAGTAATCCAGTAACAGAGAGCAACAGGAACCTCACAAGTGTGTCTGGGTTTGTGAGCTTTTCCAGGCAGAAGCAATAAGGATTCATTCACTTTGGGATCACACATCTGCAGTCTCCACACACAAATTTGATGATGGGCTGCCATGACGTGTTAGTCTGAACAGCTCTCATACCACATGCAAGAGTCTCGTGTTGCAACTATTTATTTCAGATAAAATATTTCCCTGGTACCACCTCAGCTGATATGTGAGCCTCATGTCTTACTGTAATCAACAAAACTGTGAGTGAGAGTCTCTTGTGTGGTGCATATTTTCTGAGGGTAGAACCCTTTCTAATCCTAGGAAGGTGAGGTCAGTGGAAGTTTGAACAATGAGCCCTTTGCCTTCAGACAGGGCTGGGAGTTCTCACCAGCTCTACCGTTTTTATCCCTTAAAACAAAAACACCATGGAGAAAACTACAGCACCAGCAAATCAATGATGATGGGCATGGGATAAACCTTGACCTCACCAGGGTTATGTCTCTGGAACTTGGTATAGTAAAGTTGGGTGGGTTTTGCCCCACAGGTACTAATGCCTCCAGGTAATGGAAGGGACAATGATGTGAATCCAAGCAAGGAAACATTTCCTGCTGCTGGTGCAGTTGACAGGCAGTTGTTTTGTGCCGCCACTGTGGAACTTGAAGGACATCTGTAATTCCACTGCAACAAAAACAAAATCTGTCCATCTGCATTCAGTTTCCGCTCACATTCCTCCACCAGCTTCATATCTTAAGAAAACAATAGAATTGGACCAGCCATAGATTTAAAGTCTCCAGAGCCCCAATAAATATAAATTTTCAAGGTGAGTGAGGGATGTTTCCTGTGGGCTGCATAGACCTGTCTCTCTGCAAACTTTTCCTATATATATGAAGTAAATCAAAAAGGGCCAATAATCTACCAGGCAGCAAGTCAGATACAGATAAACATCCAGGACCTGATTTTGATACCACTGTGCCAGCTGGAAGCTGGAATTGTGTTAATAATGTCAGAGGCACTCCCTCTGATTTACAGTAATTGAGAAAAATGAGGAGGTGTTTCTGGTTTCCTACCAGAAGCCACAGAGAATTAATAAAAGATAAATATTTTAGACAGGGAATGGGGCTTGCATTGTAAATAGATGTTCAAATATTACTGCAATACACACTGACAACAATTTAAAAAGAAATAAAAATCTGTTATTTCCCTGGGAATAAAGATAATAGAGAAAATTTGCTCATGATAAGTGATATAAAACCAAGAGAATCAATTCAAATGTAAAGGTATAATTTATCAATTATATCTTAATTAATCAATTCAAATGTAAAGGATAAAAATCTTATTCATTTTTCCATTTACTTGAAGATGCAAGGAGCTTCCTGCAGTCTCAAAAAATGACTTGTGCCCCAAACTCATTATTTTGAAACAGAGAGGCACACAGGGAAGCCTAAGGGGAAATCAAGAGGAATTTAAGTTGGTGTTTGGGATGACAAACAGTAAAAGCCAACAAACCAGAAGCAGAGGACCCAAATTCCCAATTTCATTAACCAATTTGTAGCAGGAACTTTGCACATCACCAGCATCTGCTGTGCCAATGGCACCATCAGGCTGAGCATCTTCTGCCAGCTGCTCCAGTTACCTTGACAGCTTGACTACTGCTTTCATTGTCATTTTTGAAATAAAAGTGCAAATTCTACCCAGCACAATGAATTAACTGAATGTTTGCTTCTTGACCAAAAGGGCCTGAGCATGACAATGAGAGGTTGCTTCATGCAGCTGCAGTGTTTGGGGCAAGACATATGGTCTCTTTGTTCCAAACAAATACAAACCTCCACATTAGCTCTGTATAGAATATGTAAATCAAGCTCCCCTTTCCTCCTTCCCTGAAATGCTTAGTAAAAAAAAACAGCTTGGAAGAGACAAAACCCAAGGGACAGGGATGTCCCAGGTCAGGGTTTTTTGCTCTCCACATCTGGGCTTGAGGAATGCAGGAGAACGCTCGCCTTCACCTCCCTCAGCCACAGCTATTAGACCTGAGGTTTCTTTTGCTTTTTTTTTTTTTTTTGGTGGCAGTTTGTTGGGTTTTTGTTTGGTTTAAGAATGTGTGGCAGAGTCTGAGGCATTGCTGAGGGGACTTTCACCTGCTCAGAAATTTCAGTCTTTGCCACTCCAGCTGCCCTTGACTGCATATATTGGCACACCAGAAAACTGCTTTTCTCCTGAACTGCTTTTCTTTTTTCACTCTGTCCTTGACTCTTTTTATACAAAGAGTGAAAAGCTGATCAATTTAAACCTGTTAAAAATAGCAGTACAAACCATACCCTTTTTCCCCATGGCAAGAAAACTTACCTGTGCTTACTGAAGAGACTACGAACAGAAAAAACCCCAAACTTCCAGCCAGACACTTGGAAGTAGGTAGAGCCATTCTTCAGGATTTTCAATTCTCTGTATGGATAACTGTGAAAAAAGAATATCAAGAAAATGTCACTTTTTTTTTTTTTTTCTCAGCTCATTCACTGCAAAATAAAAAAAAAAAAATTAAAAAAAAAAAAAAAGAGAGAGAGAAAGAAGCAGAAGTTAAATCCAGTTTTATGCTAGACCACCTCCACTCCCATTCAGCTCAATGGCTGAAAACACCTTTGCACTGATTCAGGACCAGCCTGAACAGAGCAAGGAGCCACGGGCAGCTCCTCACCCTTTGTTTGGTTTAGGATCAACCCACTCGGGAATCCAAATAGACACTCAGAAAGCAGCCACCAGCTGTAACCAAAAACGCCTCAGGAATGTGGCATAAACACATCCAGTGTCAGGACTCTAGGGCTGAATATTCACATGTGCTAGAAAGTAATGAAACACAACAGAGAAGGCGTTTGCAGAGTGACAAATTTTCATGGAGTAACCTTTCAGTGGCACCTCTCTCCCCCCAAAATACCCACACATTTTTAGCATTGGTGTTTTGTGTAACCCCCAGCTAAACCATACTCACACTTCCAACCTGAAGCATGCAGTTTCTTAGATTTCAGATCTAAGAAAATATTGTCTATTTAGTGCGCCAGCTCAGAATTTTCTTGCAAAACCAAAAGCTGCTTTTGAAACCAGTCTACCTAATGTTGTTTTTGTTTCTTCCGTAGCCAACCCCCAGCAAAAACAAACAAGCAGTGTCATGAAAGTCAAAGTTAGAATTAATGTGATTTTCTCTGTCTCCAGTGATTGATTCTGCAGCTCTGCCCCAGGCTCATGACAATTTATTGACATGTGTATTCACAGGGAGGCAAGGACACCCACTTCTGTATTCATAAGGCACTGTTTAAAATTCACATGCAGTCCTTGGAGTCTTTAGGTTTTATCATATAAGCCAGTGTCTGGGGAATATCAAAGACATTTATTTGTAGCTGTCATGTCACATCTCACTGATGAAACAGGATAAATGTATGCATCACACAGTTTATCTCAACACAAAAAAAAACCCCACTGAAAAACAATTCCAGGGTACCCCAATTTCTTTAGGGCAAAAATGAATGTTATTTTCCATGTCACTTGTTAAAAAACAACAAAAACAACAACAAAAACACAAGAAAAAGAATGGAAGAAGCCAGGATTTATTCTGGAGCAAATTTTATATGTAAAACACATCTGTACTGTTCATAAAGGTGCCACAGCTCAAAGTACAATGATAGGTTCAAAACACATGTAATCCAGTGATTGCAGTAAAAATAGAACTAGGAGCAGATTTTACAGGAAATATTTTGCCAGGGAAATGTTTGTTTGCTTTGGTATAGTGTATTTGACAGCCCTGAGCTCTGGAAACAGCATAGGCTCAGGGCTTGGTAGAGTCTATCAGGTGCTGAAATGCTGTTAGAGAGCAGTGGAAGAGAGGAATGCACTTAGCAGTGCTATAACTTTGAATGATCTGCATTATCAGAGAGCAGCGCCGTCGCCATGGAATTTGTGCCAGAACCAGGCTGCACGTGTCTGACATTTTAACAGCATTAACCATCAACTTTGGATAAGCCAGAGCTCTTTCAAAGAAACATTACTAGAGGTCCCTCTGCACCGCCCTTCCCACGGGTGTGATGCTGGAGGCTACACACTGAGGACAATTCTGAGAACAAAATGGTGAAGAAATGCTCTGAGGAAGCTGGATCCTCACAGGTACTGTGGTGGGGTCACACAGACACCGAATCTGAAGGGTCAGAGCAGAGCTTTCCGGGGTCATTCAGAAACACATACCATGACTCTTCCCCCTTGCACAACTCTGCACCAACCACCCAAACCTGGCAACAAAATTTTTTAAAGTTACTCCCAATATTGGGTGCTTACTTTTTTTTTCAGAGGCTTACGGACTTTGAAGAGGAAAGGAAGCAATTTTTGGCTCCGTTTAAACAAAATCATTTGCAATTCCCATCACTCCACCCATCTGAGGCTGACTGCCTCCCAATTTCACATGCTTTCGAAGTGCTCAGCATTTTGCTGAATTAAACCCTCCTCCAGCACATGAAGTTTTCAAAGCACCAAAGGAGAGGGAAGCTGAGCCCCGTTTGCTGAGGCTCAGGGTGACCTGACTCTGCTGTGCCAAGCTCGTGCTTCCAGGGGGTGCCAGAGCCACTGCAGAAATGCTCTGGGGATGACCAGAATGGCCACACACCCTGAATGCATGGGATGTGCTGGACACACCTGGATTAGCTGCAAGTCCACGAGGACACTCACAGCCCCTGGGGACTCCAGCACACGGGTGGATATCCTCAGGAAATCCCAGGAGGAATAGGGCAGCCTCCTTCCAACACAACACCCATGCAGCACTTACCCCACAGCTTCATTCACACGGGCTCCTGGTGAGTGCCAAGTTAGCAGCAGCCTCTGAAAACATCCCCTTGAATGTCCCAGCAGTCCCTGGAGGAACAGTACCCTCTGCAGAGCGTCCCTGGTTAGAGGGCTCTTTTCCCTCCCAAGGTAAGGAAAGTGAGTGCTGTGGCTGAAGAGGGATCACAGCATCCTGAATCCTCTTCAAACTGCTGCTTTTAACTACCCAAATAACTGCATCAGGATGTAAATATTTTTCTTTTTGCTTTTGTGGTACTTCACTGTTTGCATCTGGCTCGCCACGACTCCACGCCTTCCTCTCCAGGACATTTGCCATTTGCTCTCCTTCTGGGGCGGGAGGAGGAATAGAGATTTTTCAGAAGTTTAGGAACATTCCTCTCCTTCCTTCACCAGGCTCTTCCTTTGCCAATTGTTTAGTCTCAGCCTGGGGTTAGAGCTCTGCAAAGTTTTATTGGGATCCAGGGTCTGGACATGTCACAGATTATCAAATAAATCTCCAAGAAGCTAAAAGCTTGCTCTGTAAGTACTTGTTCCAGTGCTGGGCTTATGCTTACGAGCCAAAAACATCTTGCTTTTTTCCCCTGTACAGCATCAGAAATCACAACAATTAGGTATTAATAGGAGATCCAAAGGACTTCAGGGATCTCCCTAGGGGGTCAGCTCCAGCTGCTCAGGCTATTGTACCATTCTCATCCCCATGATGTCCCTTGCATCATGATTTATCTTACCTTTACTGAGCAGCATCACTGATTTCTTCACACTTTCTGGCAAGCTAGGACCTCTTCCCCAGCCAAACCCAACTCTCACCTCTCCCACCTGGTGTGGGGATGGAGCCACAGTTTCCTTTTCTGCCTGTAAACCTTCTGGGTGTCCTCTCAGCCCACATCCAAGGAGCATGGCAGAATGGGTGTGGTGGAGGCAAGTGTCCCATCCAAGGCATTCATTCTCCACTCAGAGGCACAAGTCAGCTGCTCTGGTGTGGATGCCAGAGCAACTCACTCACCAGGGAGCAGCAGTCTGGCCAACAAAACACTGACCTTTCCCTGTAGCAACTTGTTTGGCCATTTCTGAGAATGCCAAAGAAACAACAGGACATCAGTTACACAACCTTCACCCACCTGCTTGAACAGCCCACATTGTTCAGTGGCAGGGATGGTCTGAAATCACCTGTCCCTTCACTGTTGTCACCAAGTAGCACCGTGTTCAAACCCAAGTGACTCTTTCATCATTTCAGGGTCACTTTGTGCATAGCTGCAGTCAGTGAAGTCACCAGTTTTTTCTCACTTTGCGTATAAATCTCTATTTTTGCCTTTACTTCAAACAGCCGCAGCATAAACATAAAGCAAAGAGAATTAGCCAATAATACTGACAATATTTCAGTCCTCAATGGGAGCCAAAAGTCAACACAAGCATTGCCTGAAAGGAACACAAGACTTCACCCTAAGCAGCACATACTTTATGCTGGGTTTTATTTCTGTAGGTCGTTAATTAAGTGTTCACATCAGTTAGACAAACATCATTTGACTAGTCATTAGCTTCAGACAGAAACACATTTATAACTCTTTGTTGTGCTGTGTGCTCAGTTTGATTAGAAGACATTGTCATGAGATCACTGCACACTGACCAAGCAGAGGTTGCTGAGTTCACCTAAGATGCCACAGCAGATGGACACCTTTTTTAAAAAGCAGACATTAATGGGTAAAAGCAGGAATAAAGGGAGAATTGCCTGCCTTTGCTTAAGTTCATGTTTCCCTGGAATTGCTAAATTTCCACACCAAATTTCATTTATATTCCCACAGTTACCTCAGAGCAGATCTTGCCTTTAGAACTTACCTTTTGATACCAAATCACAGATATGTTGAAACACTTCCCCTGGGGAGGGGCAGCCCACAGAGTGCTCCTGTTCTGCTCTGTAAGATTCTGATTGAAAAATAAAGTTCCACCACAGAGGGTAAGGTGAGAATATATTTATTGGTTATAAAATATACAAGCGAACTCCATCGGTTTGGTACAATCTTGTAAGAACAGCAGGTTTTGGTGCTGCTGGGCTCTGCCTGGCTGGTGCTCCCCAGCAGTGCCCCAGGCAACCCCAGCCTTTGCAGAGATGTGCTCCAAGCAGGTCTGAGAAAAAGCAAATTTTAGTGGCTCAACAGTATTATCAGGACACTGATATTCTTTCAGCTTCAAGGGAACATAATGCTGAAGAGAAGCAGCTTTCTTAGAATGATTAAAGACTAATCCAGGATGGTTTGGCTTGTCCTTTATAGCCAAGCCTGGCAAAACTCCCTGAAAAACAGACACAAGGAGAGAAGTGACCCTCTGGGTGTGGGAGTTCACTTACCAGCAGCACAGCTTGGGATCCCTCCACACACCATGGACACTTCTTAGCCCTTCTTTTATTTCTTGAATTAAAATTACAGAACATACAGGAGAGAGAAGGTGGATGGAAGTGGGAGTGAGCCTCACTGAAACTGTAAACTTGCTGCCTCATGGATCTGCTGGTATTTCAATGAGCTAAGCCAGGTGCCCAGATGTCAGTTAGCAGGAATATTGTTTTACTCTTTGTTTTTAAATAATACTGGTACTTTTTCTTGTTTAACTACC